AATGTAATAGGGTTTCTAATATTACACTTGAAGAAGGGTGGGGGGCAGTAAGCATAGGTGTTTGTGATGTCATACTGACATTTAAGAATTATAAATAGTATCAATCTGCTTTTCAGATCAAGTAAATTTAAGACTTATTGAAAACTATAGCAACTTTCGAAATGAATCACAGTCAGAAATCCGGACTTTATAATGATATGAAAAACGAAACTACAGTCCAGAAATGTATGAAATTTATTTCTCATAAATGATAAATACATATACACAATATATATCACTAAGTTGTTAAATATAGAAAAATACCTACATTATGTAAATCACATCTGTATAATGTAGAGGGTAACCTAGAACCTTTGTATGTATACGTAACGAGTAGAAATCAACTTGAAAAAAGTAATATTCGATATCACCGGGGTACAATCAAGAAAATTGTACACTGCATACATTCCATATCATTGAAAATATACACTCAAGCACATGAAACACAGCCATAAAGACAAACTTTAAATTAAATGCAAAAACAACAATATAATGGTCTGATTGGCGAACTACACAACCAAAAAAATGGTTAAAATATAACTCGTTACCGAAATTGTCACAGGTATCCACATGCTCAAGCTTAAGATTCAGGTAGACCTATTGTTTTGGAAAAGTATTGCGAAGAAATTTAAGTCGAAACAGAGTTCAAAGTTAAATTCCAGAAACGAATGGACATGCGCAAATACGTAGCTGCGTCTGAAGTCCACATTAGACTGACGGTATTCGGGTACAGCTATCGTTTATAAGATTCCAGAAATGTCAAACTCAACGATACATACCGAGACTGCTTTTCGATTTACGGCATGTTCTAAAAGCAACCCAACAGTTTGTGCTCCGAATTGGATGAATGGTTATAGTTTAAACATAGTAGTATGGCGGATATGTGAAATGGGCGTGCACTTCCGGAAAGAAGCATGATAATTTGTCCTAGGGGGTTTTTGGGTATGCTAATTTCAAAAATTGCGGGAACCACGACCTCACTCCAGCCGTTCCCGCCAAAAATCTGGAAATTCAAAATGGCCGCCACAAAACATGATTTCGTCCATGAAATTCCTCTCAGTGCCCCGATTTCAAGGATCTTGATGTCTACACCTATGTTTTTGAGGTCGAGGAATCTAATAAAACATATGTCAAGACTTGTACAGTTTTCCTTCAAATGTTTATCAAAACAAATGGCATAATTCAAATCGATCAGGTAATAAAATGACTATGTATTCAATAGAAATACATTTAACAATGTATCTTTCTATTTTTCAGAAACAGAAGAAAAAGAAGTAGAAAGGAAACTAATTGATATAACATCATAAACAGGACCAACACAATTGCATGATGATTCAACTAGAGAAAATGACCAGCTTGGCGTAATCTTTATCACTGACCCTACCCTAGCGAAAACATCTGTCAACATCCCAGGAATATCCAGTAATCACTGTTATAGATACAAAACTACACTACCAGAAAGCAAACGCCAGGAAATTGTACATCTGGAAAAAAAAGCTAACAAGCGTACCAAGACCTAGACAACGTCACGCAGGAAATAAAAGATATGAACACCGACAGTGGCGTAGCGTCCGTGCATGCTTGCATGCTCAAGCATGCAAGAATAAAATTCGAGAAAACATGTTTTCTTTTTCTTGTTTATTAATCTATTTCCATAATGTGCATGATTCTTTTCTCGATTTGTTTTATATACCTTGCGACGATATATTCATTAAAAAAAATCTTTATAATCTTTATATATGCAATAATTTCGGGATTACAATGCTGTAATCAAAATACCTTCAGCTGCCGCCCCTGCACCCCCAAGCATGCAATTGAATGAAGGCCTCGCTACGCCACTGACCGACAAAAACCATCAAGAAAAACAAAGTACCATGATGCTACCAAATATTCAGAAAAATGATGAGATAAAAGAAATCTGTGTGATCAAGTCAAAATATCACAAAAATAGTCCAACTTCAAACACCACCAGAAAGAATGCAAGAAAGAAATAAGGACTATGCAAATACGGCAATATTCGGAAGGAATGAAAAACAGCACCGGGCTTTTCTGTAAAGTACATAAATTCAAGGCAACGAGACAAGATCAGGGTTGCAATACTGAAAGAAAATGGCTAACTTGTAAACAACAGCAAAGACAAGGGACACATTCTCAAACAATTCTCGTCAGTATTCACCAAAAAAAGACCAACAAAATGCCTCGAACTCATCAAAGAGTAAAGGCAGATATTCCTTATCAAGGTAACAGAAGATGGGGTAGTTAAACAATTAAGGTAAATTAACTCCACAAAAACATCAGGATCAGACAACATCTCAAAGAGAGCATTCAAACAGTGTGCTGGACATCTAGCACCGGCCCTAACAGTCATATTCCAATACACACTAGACGATGGTAATCTTCTAGATGACTGGCCGAGAGCAAATGTATCGTGCATTTTTAGAAAGGGGACAGTACCGTGCAAGCTCCTGGAACACATGGTATGAAAACTAAACTAATGAAAACTACTGACCGGTATCTCTAACAGCAGTACCGTGCAAGCTGCTGGAACACATGATATGTAGTCAGCTAATGGCAAATCTTAAAAAAACAATCTTGACAACATTAAAGCATGGTTTCAGTTCTGTGTACTCGTAAGAGACACAATTACAAATGTAGCAATGATTATCAGGGAAAAACTGCAATCATTTGATCAAGGTAGACAGACTGATATAGCAAACCTGGCTTTCTAAAAAAAGCATCTGATACTGTCCCCACAACAAACCTCTCTATAAAAGCATCTGATACTGTCCCCACAACAAACCTCTCTATAAAAGCATCGGATACTGTCCCCACGACAAACTTCTCTACAAAAGCATCGGATACTGTCCCCACGACAAACCTCTCTACAAAAGCATCGGATACTGTCCCCACGACAAACTTCTCTACAAAAGCATCGGATACTGTCCCCACGACAAACCTCTCTACAAAAGCATCGGATATTGTCCCCACGACAAACCTCTCTACAAAAGCATCGGATACTGTCCCCACGACAAACCTCTCTACAAAAGCATCGGATACTGTCCCCATGACAAACTGCTCTACAAAAGCATCGGATACTGTCCTCACGACAAACTGCTCTACAAAAGCATCGGATACTGTCCCCACGACAAACTTCTCTACAAAAGCATCGGATACCGTCCCCACGACAAACTGCTCTACAAAAGCATCGGATACTGTCCCCACGACAAACTGCTCTACAAAAGCATCGGATACTGTCCTCACGACAAACTGCTCTACAAAAGCATCGGATACTGTCCCCACGACAAACTTCTCTACAAAAGCATCGGATACTGTCCCCACGACAAACTGCTCTACAAAAGCATCGGATACTGTCCCCACGACAAACTTCTCAACAAAAGCATCGGATACTGTCCCCACGACAAACTTCTCTACAAAAGCATCGGATACTGTCCCCATGACATACTGCTCTACAAAAGCATCGAATACCGTCCCCATGACAAACTTCTCTACAAAAGCATCGGATACTGTCCCCGCGACATACTGCTCTACAAAAGCATCGAATACCGTCCCCATGACAAACATCTCTACAAAATTATCGGATACTGTCCCAACGACAAACTTCTCTACAAAAGCATCGAAAACCGTCCCCACGACAAACTGCTCTACAAAAGCATCGGGTACTGTCCCAACGACAAACTGCTCTTCAAAGCATCGGATACTGTCCCCACGACAAACTGCTCTACAAAAGCATCGGATACTGTCCCCACGACAAACTTCTCTACAAAATAGAAAAATACGGAATCAGAGGTTCAACCCACGCATGGCTAACATCATTCCCGACAAAACGGAAATGCGAGTGATGCTAGAAGGGGCGCTATACTCAAATGAAGTCACTATGGGCTCTGAAGTATCACTAGGGTCAGTACCACGGGCCCCATCCTTTTCTAATGCCACATGAATGACCTGTCGGAAGCGGTTAAATCCTCAGTAATACTCTACACAGGATACTAAATCAATATCTTTGTGCTATTATTTAGCATTTATGTTAATAACATTCAAAGTGTTAAGGCTTCAAATGCATATACACGCCATGTTTAGCAAAAGAAAAAATAAATAAAAAAAAAATCAACACTATGAAGTCTCTATAGAAATATGCCACATTCAAGTAAATTCTCAATTTTAATAAATTAATTTGCATTTTAAAAACAACCTGTTTCTCTCAAACGAACATAAACCATTGATAATTTATAGCTAAATCTTTACTGGGAGTTCGTCTGACTAGCTACTAGGATACACAGTTCTAAAAACTGAAAAACTGAAATTTATTACTAAACCCCAAACATAATTCTCGGCCCTCTGGGCTAGCAGGGGCGCTATCCAATATGGGAAATAGAACGATTTCATCAAAATCCTACTCCGCATTTAGGAATGATTGGAGTTTGCCTAAATTTGGTATAAAGCATTGAGCAATGGGTCTGGTTATCTACGGTGGGGCCCAAAAGCGCAAATAGAGCAAGTTCTTTCAATACTGCTAGCCCCCATACCACTGTAGGAATCATGGCTTTATGATCAAACCTGGTCTGCAGTAATTGGGGTGAAGAGGAAGCAGTTTTGCGAAGTGATCGATATATGCCCTTTTAGCCTGTTTTGTTTTGTTGTTGTTTCGTTTGTTTTGCTTTGTGTTTTGAAAGCTAGCGGTATGATTTTTTTACTGCCAATCAGGTAAAACAGTTGCAGCTGACCGGAAAGGAAAATCATATACTATCTAGTTTTGCAATAATATTCTACGAATGCATGATATTTTTTGTTTGTTTGTTTTAATAACACAAATAATGTAGTATTTATGTTGTTTATGCAAATTTATATATGATTCCGGACTATTCGTGTCCGGGTACAGTAGGGATTTACACAACAGTAGTGACTTCCTCTCTGCTCTTTGTTGAGTTGTTGTCTAGCTGCGTCAGTGAACGTACAGACAAAACAACAGCTGAAGTCAAAAAGATAAAAAAAAATTGAATTTGAAAAGAAATATTAATCTTCTTCAAGATGGCACAGACCCAACCAAGACAAAATTTCCACTCGGAGAGCGAAGCCGGCATCAATAAACAGATAAATTTGGAGCTCTATGCCAGTTACATATATCAGTCAATGGTAGGGTATGGGTGTAAGGCAACCAAGATATTGGTAATTTCTCGGTGTAAGTCGAGTCCAATATATGTAATATTGTACCTAATTTTGCTGCAATTTACTGAGGATTGGCACTTACTAAGAACAAGTATAATGCGTATCAAAAACAATACGCGGCAATCACTGATGCCCTTTTCAGTTGTTCATCCTACTAAACTAAATTTGATAATAAATTTCCAGGTAGTACAGGATGTATATAAGATGTAACATTATGATAATAATTTGCTTGATTAAATGGCACTTATAACATGTGATATTTCCATAACAATTTTCTAGCTAAAATGGCACATGTATAACAAGTTCTATTTAGATGACAATTTTCTAAATAAAACTGCACATATATTACATGTAATATTCAGATGACAATTTTCTAAATAAAACAGCATGTATATATCGGGATATTCAGATGAGAATTTTCAATATAAAACGGCATGTATATATCGGGATATTCAGATGATAATTTTCTAAATAAAACAGCATGTATATATCGGGATATTCAGATGACAATTTTCTAAATAAAACAGCATGTATATATCGGGATATTCAGATGATAATTTTCAATACAAAACAGCATGTATATATCGGGATATTCAGATGATAATTTCTAAATGAAACTGGCTGTATATAAGGTTTAACATTTTGATGATAATTTTCTGAATAAAACGAGAAGAATGTAACATTTTGATAATTTTCTTAATATTATGAGACATATGGAATATGTGAATTATACATTTATTGTGTGAAGTGATTTATATCAAAGTCTGTAATAATCAAAACAAATTACCAACGAGTTTGAAGAGGGATCCATAGGGTCTCGACACAATTTCCAGACCATATGGCACATATCTTTACTATGTATCTACATGTATAATAATACTTAGTATTACTTATAATGCATTGCAAATTTGTCAAGTCCCAAATGGTAGAACATTGTGTTCCTTATTTCAACCTTGTTATTTATTTTTACTGAAGAAGACATACAACTTGTGTTTAACTGGATTGCAATTTTTCTTTGATTTATGAGCTAAATTATTTCTAAAATATCTTACCACTATCAATTTGATATTTTCAGGCCTTTTATTTCGATCGTGATGATGTGGCACTTCCAGGATTCAGCAAATTCTTCAAGAAATCATCTGATGAAGAACGAGAACATGCAGAAAAGCTGATGAAGTATCAGAATAAGAGAGGAGGCCGTATTGTCCTTCAGAACATCACTGTAAATATCAATCTTTGTTATATTAATTAAAGTAAAATTAACTAGAATTACTTCAACAACAATCAGTGGAAGATCAATTTGTATATGACTTTCTATTTAGGAGGAAAGTAGTGATGAGATTTTCAAGGTGTAACTTGTTTATTGTCCCAAAGTGGTACACTTGATGGGAATGTGGCACTACATTATGCAAAGAAAGATCTTAAACATTTTTCTTGCATAGTTATATAACAGGAGCTAAATGTTTGGGTTTTTTTTTCAGCAGGAATTTAACTGAAATTATCACATTTTAAGAAACAAATATTAAAAACTGATGGAATACTGGGGGAAAATTCTTGAAATGGAATTTTTAAAGGTTTATTTCAAAACAGTCTCCAAAAATAATTTTTGCAATGCTTACAACCATAGGGAAAAATCTGTAAACCAAAAAGTAAATATGTCTGCTATCAGTCCTGACATAATTGAGTACATGTAACCAAGTAATTGCTAAGTTTCTTTATGATTATTTTGCAGAAGCCTGATCGTGATGAGTGGGGGAGTGGATTGGAAGCCATGCAGACTGCTCTGTCACTGGAAAAGAATGTCAACCAATCACTTCTAGATCTTCATGGTGTTGCTAATGCTCACGGAGATCCACAGGTATGTCACTTCTAGATCTTCATGGGGGTGCTTATTCTCACAGAGATCCACAGGTACGTCACTTCTAGATCTTCATGGGGGTGCTCATTCTCACAGAGATCTACAGGTATGACACTTCTAGATCTTCATGGAGGTGCTTATTCTCACAGAGATCTACAGGTACGTCACTTCTAGATTTTCATGGGGATGCTTATTCTCACAGAGTTCCACAGGTACGTCACTTCTAGATCTTCATGGGGATGCTTATTCTCACAGAGATCCACAGGTATGTCAATTCTAGATCTTGATATTGTTGCTTATGCTCACGGAGATCTTTCACATTAAGACCCTTAGATGCTTCTTTTAAAAGCAAAATCATTGATTAATGTGTTCTATCTATAATGCCTCTTGCAAACAGTGTTAGACTGGCAAACAGTGGGAAGGAGGATAAATCTGTATATTTGGAAATGTTTGATTGTCTGTAGACAAAATTTGTTTCAGTTTAAAACTGATCTTTTTAAAAAAAAAAAATGTGGGAATGACCATTACAAAATGGGGATTTACCTCCTTTTCAGTGAGTTTTCCCCTTTAATATAAGAAATGAACACGATTTTTCTGGCTATGCAATTGCAGAAATAGTTGTTTTTCAGGCCTTCAATTGACTTGAAATTTAGTTCATGCCTTCATTATGGTACCATATAGTAAAGAATAGTGGTTATTTCCTTGTTTAACCAAAACCCATTTTTTTATGTTTTTGGACTATTCTGGGATGATGTATTGATACTATGCACTATAAAGTTTAATTAAACAAATGATTTGTATTTTTGTAATTTTTGCCTTGTTTTGGACTTAACTATGGACACAAAATAATTACAACACTCTATTAATATATTTATGAAAGAGTGTTTTGGAAAGAGAATGTTTGTGTATGTGAAAAGATATATACTAGGGATGAGTAACATTATGTAGCACATATCAAATAAAAAAGGGACAAATGACATAACATAACGTTGAAAATAACTGGCATTTGTTAACTTGTTACACAATTTTTTAACATTTAGCATATCTAATGCTTGATATAGGATGTCGATTCTTTACATGATCTTTTTGTGATTTCACAATCATGATCTGAAGTTATTTGATAAAGTACAAAGGGATGAATTATTATTATATTTTGAGCATTTTAAAATATAGTTTTCAACTGTTAGAGGTCTTTGCGTGTGCAGGGAATATTAGTTATCCTCAGGATGACAGTTCTGGGATTGAAAATGTTTCATATAATGTAATGGGTTAATAGAAAAAAAACTTGTATTAAATGAATATATTGGCTTTTTAACATTTATTGCTTTTGGCTATCTATAGGTGTATAACAGCACCAAGTTTATACTCTAAGATTGCAGGGCATATCTGTGTAGGTCAAACTGACACTAAAATCTTTGGTGTCCGATGACATTCAGTATCCATCGATAAATATTAGTAAACACGAATATATAGTAAACTTGTAGAACTTATATATGGACATCAATAGTTTGAGGAATATGACTGTTAGTGATATAACACAGTAAACTTGTAGAACTTATATATGGACATCAATAGTTTGAGGAATATGACTGTAAGTGATATAACACAGTAAACTTGTAGAACTTATATATGGACATCAATAGTTTGAGGAATATGACTGTGAGTGATATAACACAGTAAACTTGTAGAACTTATATATGGACATCAATAGTTTGAGGAATATGACTGTAAGTGATATAACACAGTAAGCTTGTAGAACTTATATATGGACATCAGTAGTTTGAGTTATATCACTGTTAGCGATATAACACAGTAAACTTGTAGAACTTATATATGGACATCAGTAGTTTTAGAAATATGACTGTTAGTGATATAACACAGTAAACTTGTAGAACTTATATATGGAGATCAGTAGTTTGAGGAATATGACTGTGAGTGATATAACACAGTAAACTTGTAGAACTTGTATATGGACATCAGTAGTTTGAGGAATATGACTGTGAGTGATATAACACAGTAAACTTGTAGAACTTATATATGGACATCAGTAGTTTGAGGAATATGACTGTTAGTGATATAACACAGTAAACTTGTAGAACTTACAGGGACAATGTCAATAGTTTGAGAAATCTGAAGTTTTAGACATGATCTATGTTGGTGGTTAGTATAATAAAGCCAATTCTTTTTCATAAAAAAGACTACAAAATATTTAGGTTTAGAATGTCAATAAGCAAGATTGTCATGTTATTACAAGAAAGAGCCGATAAATGTGCTCCACATTGTAATGTTATATGTATTATGTACACATACACCATCACTCTGTTCCTAGTTACATTGAATTTTCTGAAAAATGACACAATGAGGATAGTTGTAACGTTAACTCCTGCAAATATTTGATTTAAAATCAAATTTTTTTCTGGTTTACTAGTTTTCCGACTTTATTGAGGAGACCTTCCTGACGGAACAGGTGGAGGCTATCAAACAGCTGTCTGATTATATCACTATATTGAAAAAGGTTGGACCAGGACTTGGAGAGTTCCAGTTTGACAAAGAAACTTTGCAGGATTAGACAGCCAATCAGCACTTTGTTAACAACAGTATCAACCAATGGGAGCAAAGACACTTCTATCAGCATTGACCAATTATAGATCAGTTCAAAGAATTTAAAGCTTTTTCTTTTTAATGTATTGTTGTGTGTAATATTTTAACAATCAAGACATCACCAAAAGTTATGAAATATTTTATCAAATAAATATGATAGAAAAACTAAATTGAGAAGATATCTGAAATTGTTTGGCATTTATGTGAAGTATATTTGGATATATCAGCGATTGTTTTGTAGCCAGAATACAAACTAGGAAACTCCTTTAAAACACAACTGTTCAAATGTGTAGCTGTTGTGAAGTAGATATTGTAGTATAACATAAGTGTTGGGTGTTACATACATCTTGTTGTCAGAAATTCAAATCAGATGTTCAAATCCAGAGCATACAGGCTTGATTATACCAAATTCATCTACCATATTACTGCGGATAATCTATTGGACCAAATATTTTTCCTTGTTTTGATATACAACATTTACAACAAGTTTTATTTTGGATCTTTTGTATGTATTCATGAAGTTTTTAAGCTGTTGCAAATTCCTGTTATTTTTTCCTTTGTATTTTGTGTCAGTATTTGTGTTTCTCTCAGGAAATATATATATATTTGAGAATAAATATTGTCTTTCAAAATCATTATGTTGTACATTGTTCTTGTCAGACATCAACATGGCACATGGTATTTGATTGTCTGTTATCTAGTTTATTTGTATTTTGCATCGTTACATAGTCTGTCCTACTCTCTGCTCCCTCTTGATACTTCACCTTCACCTGCCTCTTATCTGTTCTTGCTCACCCCTGTCCGCTGCCTTTTGCCACTCTCACTGGTTTTTGAACTAATATCAATGTATACTTCAGATTACGGTGTACTATTTGTAATACTCCTTTGTGTATATCATTAATAAGGCATGTACCTCCACATGTTGACCTTATCACTCTCAGGCTCCAATGATCTACCTAGGTATCGTTGCCTATTATGTTTACAACACACGCTAGCCTGAGAGCACTGCATTACTTAATCACACTAACGGTATCTAGCCATGGTGCTTCACACTGGGGTGCACATCTCTCCTGTTATCAAGCTTGCAACACTACATGTACCTGTCCCTCTTGGGGTTGTTTACCTCAGTCCTGCATTACCTGACCTTGACCTAAACTTAGCTCTCTATATACCTACCATTTCAAAGCTACCATTATTGACTTAATATCACTCATTTTGTTATATTCTGTTTAAGAATAAGTAAATTAATTTTCTACTGGTCTTCACTGACCTCAATAAAGTGTTGATGGTGTAGAATTTCTACAATGTATTTGGGTGATGACCTGAGCTAGCCTATGTGAGCTTGCTTGATCGTAGGAAACCTTGGTTAAGAAAGACTTGACATATAATACTCATATCCTGAACTTTTGCTATCATCTCAATCACCTGGTTGTGTTTGGTATTACTTATTTCTATCATATATAAAAATTTCGACAATCTATTTGCAATCAAGTGCAATACAGATGAAAAATAGAACTCGGTCATCGATCCCAAGAACCTGAGAAAATAATCTATATGACCACTAAAGTGGGTCAAGGTCATTGAACAGACTGGAAGGCATCTTAAGGTACAGGCAAGTGGACAAATGATAAAAATCAGTTCTGGCATTTGGAAAATTTAATATGCATAAAAAATAAAATTCAAAATGACATCATGGTCGTCACAACATAATAAAGTTAGCGACCAATTCATGAATATTGGCCATATAGTGTGAAACTTGTCAATCACATCAAATACTTTTAGCAAACAATTTATACAGGTATTTGGCTGATTGACTTGCAATATGGAATGATGTATCTCTAGCCACTGAGTTCAGTAGAATAATTTCTAGTACAAAAGAACGCTTAAAATTTGACAAAGAAGAAAGGTCTATACCTTCACTTATCACGTACAAAAACATGGTCAATCCAGGAGGGGATTCGCCACACAAAACATAATGCCACTTTTGTTAGAAGATGCAGCGTATCATTTCAAAACATGGACAAGAAACCAATGTTTTGTGTACACCAGAAATACATCATGATTGGTTATTAGTACTAATTACTTATCTGGTGCTAAACATTAATCTGTGAGGACATATTAAAAAGGTCAGTTTCTACAATAACACTGGCTAGATCCACGAAAAACAAGTATTAGTATACAAACTTCATCAACAAAAACAACAAAATAATGGTGAATAGCTCAATTCCCTTTGACAGGAATTCTGACATTCATTCACGTGTATATCCCTAGATAATACTATTCTTACTAACTAGTAATAGATATCTTCACTGTAACTTAAATGCACATAAGTTCATCATGAGATAAAAAAAAAATGCTATGATTAGAAGGCAAGCCTGATAGGCACAGTATATAACATGTTAAAATAATTTTTATTGTAACCCTCTATATAATTTTGGGGTCTGTAATTAATTGTTGGATGGGGCTTAATACCATGAGATAAAAGTGACAAAGGACATCCTTGATACTTCAGGGGTCACACTCACTGATGCTCTGCACCCCTGGAACATTTGATGGCAAAAGTGAAGGTACAAGTGAAGTACATTTGTAATTTGATTGGTCTACAGTATGTTTCAACAGAAATAAGCTGGCCTATCACAGACACCCTCCTTTGATTACAAAGTGACACAACTTCAAAGATCTCCTAATTCATTTGATGTACATCAAAAGATCAAACTAGTCTTCTCATCTTATCCACAAGGTGTCTCATATGTTCCAGGGGTATAGACAGTGAAATTATTTATAACACCTAAAGTATTGAGGATGCCAAAAGTGGAGTTGGTAATGAATTGTTAGCATTCTCTCTGTTGACTGTAGCATGTCATTTTGGATAACTATAGATTCCCAAGATATTGAAAAGAAAGATGGTTATTTTTTGATAACTGTGAAATGTTGTAATATTCCAATGTCATCTTAAATCACCCAAAATCATTCTCTCTAGTCAGACCAGAAAGATTGGCCACAATGGAAGTTTTATATTGGGGAATACTCCTAGATTATATTCATTCTTGTTAGAAAATTGTATATATAAAATACATTGCAATGACCACAGATAATGTTACTTTGCTCAGGATTTCGCTGTGCCAGTAAAATTCAAAATTTCACTAACCTCTCTGGGTCATACTAGAATTCCAGACAATTTTTATGACCTGTCAGGGTTAATTTGGGCCAGTGAAATCATAAACAATCATCACAATGGTCTAGATACGTGTATGAGAATTTTGTGGACGGTAAATTGTGGTAATACTATCACAAGGTGTTTTTATTGTCCAGTAAAATGTTGTGTAACATCTTGAATGGATTAAGATATTATCATGAAAGTTGTCTTTCTCGTCCTATACCTGTGAAATATTGAATTGTTAAATAGATTTATAAAATATACCACTAAATTTATATTAAAATATTTTAAAAATTTTTGTCTCAAAATACTCTGAAATTCACCATCACAACTTACATATAATTATATCAGTTGATCAACACAAGTAAAAACTACAACTTATTGTATCACAAATGCTGATAAATGCTCTCTCACTAATTAACATGTCATAGATAGGAATCAATAGAACTATCCTGCATTATAACAAAAATCACCATCAGTTAAGGGTGTATGCCACCTTTACTATGATAATCTTTAAAACAATTTCACAAATTTTAGGCAACAGTATGTAGTTTCTTATCAAATAATCATTGTCAGTACATGTATGTTAATTGAAGGCTATATGTAAAAGTGGAAGACTGATATTTCGTCGTTCATCTAGTTTATTTATGTGCTTGGAATTTAGTTATGTCATTGTAAACGTTCAAAGTAATTTTTGTGTGAATTCTGCACATGCTTTTTTCCAAACATAAGCTATATAATACAGTATGATTCAATAGGTAGTCGGTCAACAGGAAAGTCTTGATAAGGTTGGTTGGATCTTCTTCTTTTTCTTCACTCTATTGACCTTGTGATAGTGTAGATGTACAGAGGTGTCAGATATGTATGGTTTGAGTTATTTCTCAGTATTAACAAATCTTTTATTTATTTCCAAAGGAGCATTGTAGTTGTAAATTGAAATGTGTTTTGTAGTGGTGTACTTGTGTGTGTGAATGGTATATCAAATGTGTCCATACTTAATCACACTCAATTAATGCTCTTTTCGTTTGATAGAATATATCAAATTTTATATACCAGAGTTTGTCACCATTTGCCATGCTTCATTTATCCATTTTTATGGGTTCAAGATCAACAAATCTGGGTTAGACTCATAGCCAGAAAATGCTCCATTTACATACAGAAATAAATATGCTAGGGGAGACAAATCCAATCTCGTCCACTCTGCTCGGGTTAAAAATAGAAAAAGATAAGCAGAAATTCATCATTATGTCGGTAATTTACATACACTGCTGAAACAATTGTATATTGGTAAATATTCTGATATCATTTTAAGTGTTATTAGATGACATGGGGGTATTGCATGGCTAAATGAGAGATAGCTAGCTCTGATAACAGTACTTGTCTAACACTGAAAAGGACGTCAGAACTGACACAAAAAAAAACTTAATATGGCAGCTTTAACACATTTGAAATAGAGAAGAAGACTACAACAAATAATAACGAGTTGTACATGTCATGGACTAATGATTAAAGGGAGATAATTCTAATATAAAATCTATATAATGTAAGGTAGCTTGTAATTGGTGGTGATACCTGTACTATACCTTTCAGACACATGTGACATATGACATATTTACTAGATCTGGCATATAAACAACCTTTAACACAATAATCATCAATATATTAATATCTATGGAAAATATATACTTCAAAATTATATTCAACAGTATTTCAAAAACACTTCTTGATATGTTCATGAAAAATGTATCTAAAAGTCAATACAAATGTAGTAAATATCACAGTTTTTAGATGATAAAGACATACAAAATATAAATAAAAAAAGACCTTGAAAGTACAATGCAACAGAAATGGACGGTCAATTTGATTGACAAGGTAATGAGATCAGAAATATATACAATATATTTTATTTTGGGTTTAGTTGATATCATTTTCATGTATAACCCTCCATTTGGGTCATGTTAAACTCGGTTTCCTTTAATCAGCTTGTGACTGTACAAGTAAAAATGTGCCTGATCCAGCCAAATACTTCAAATTTAGGAAACATTGATTTTCACTTTTGTAGCCCTTCAAGCAGTTTCACACAAGAAGGACTACACACACATTTTAACCTAGCATTACGACAAAGTTTTGTGAAAAGACATAAAACATTTGGAAGACATAAAATAAAAAATATTCTTGTCGTCTAAATTTTTTTGCATGAAATATTAGTTTGAAAAAGAATTAAATCATGTTGTGTCAGCACTACAGATATTTAGATATCTCACACACATGTCCCTAGTGTAAATGCATCAATTTTATACAAACAGCTGGCATCACTACAACAGTCAATTTAAATTTCACATGAGATTCTTCGACATCGCTGAAAAGTCAGTGGAGCTGTCTCCTCTGTCCATATCATCTTCCCCACAGCACCATTTTTACAGTCGATAATTGGAATGTTTCAACCTGAATCCTATCCAAGGTAATTGAATTTTTTTTCCAAAATTTCATTTCCTCTACAAAAATGTACAAGTACAAAAATGAAGAGCTCTGCATTGAAAATGGAAAATCAAATCCAAGTAAGAACTCTTCAAGTTTTCTTGCCCTTAAAAAAATCACATCATAGATTCAATATATATTTTTTTCATTTCTTAGCTTCCATTCTCATTTTTTGCACTTTTTTCTTGGCAGCAAATTTTCTCCAGCTGCGTTGGATGATCTCCGCGGAGGCGCGAGCCTTCCGTATCTTATTGACCCTGTCTTTCTGCTGTTGTACCTTTGACATGAACACATCTTCTGCCTTTTCCTCAGGTAGTGCTGTTACTTGTGAGGTTACTGGTGTCTCCTCCCATACGAGCTGACCTTTCCTTCCTCCAGGGAGATTATTCTGATCGTACACTGCCAAGTTCTCGTCAAGAGTGCGCTTAGCTGACAGATACACCACAAAAATTGTTAAAGATGTTTTGTTTTAATTTGCATGAACAAAAGGCGAGAAATTTTGTTTTTTGTTTAATTGTATGCCTTAGAAGTTTGTTCATGAGAATTTCAATAGAAAAATATGAAAATAAAGATATATGGATATAGAAATTTTTGCTATTTCATCAGTTCTCAGGAAGTTCTGTTGGTGTGTATGATGTTCAATGAATGATCATTATAAATTTTTAAGTTGCATAATAAAAAAATGTCAAAATATAAGAAATATTTGTTAATTTATTTTTTGTATAAACTGCATTATTTTACAGATAAATGATCTGGATCTGAAGGACCTTTTATGTATTCTATAGACAACAACATATACATACCTTTGGCTCGTTTCCTTGGTTTTCGTCTCTGCTTCTTTTCTGGTGTCTGCATCCCTAGTTTGGCATGGATTGAAGCTTGCTGTAAACACGTACAATTCAAAGATAAAATCACATACACATACATATATATACATATATTATCAATGAAGTAATAAAGACAGTACGGACAAGTGAATTGTCAAATTTTGGAGGCAACCTGCCCCTATATATACTGCTGAAAGTTAGTAACTAATCCTGACTTCCAGATGTGTTGATACATTCCGTCTACAGAGGGTACACATCCACTGTCACTCCTCAGTAAATCATTATCACATTTTGATTTTACAAAATTTATTTCTGTAAGATTTAACCATAAAACAAGTTGATTACTAATGTGTAAGAGTAACTGAAATCAAAGGAAAAAGAAAACTCAAAATTATGGGATGGGTCCACAGACATGGAGGGTAGAAGTACTGAAATTCTGTGTGAAGAACATAATCGATGGAGAATACCTTCAATAATAAAAATTACCAATTAATGCTATTTTCTGATAAAAATACAATACAAATTTCAAATATTCTATCTCCAATCCAGAAACTTGTGAACCAGATTTATTTTGAATCTATATAAAATGTAACTGTAAATGGGATGTTAATTTACTTTAAGAAATTGTGATGAATTTAATTTTCTTCATTTATATGTTCTTTTTGTATATATATACATGTACCAACAAGCAACGAAATGTGAAGGAAGTTTTGAAGATTAGATCAACGCCCTAAATTATCCTTACTTATACATCAACAAAACTCAGAAATAGGAACTATTACTTTGTTGGGACAGAGTGAAGATGTAGGGAGGCAAGCTACTATACTATCAACAACATTAAAATACTAGACAGTTAATTACAATTGTCTGGGAGACTTACCCTTGCCTCTGGTCCCCAGGCCTTTGTGTTACGACTGTTAGGCCATATATCCCCATCACTATCCTCCTGGCTATATCTGACCTCAGGCCTTTCTCTTGACCTGTTGCGATTATGACTACGTCCACGACTTTCCTGTTGGTGTGCACGCATCAAGGACTCTAATACTGCCTCCTCATCTGACCAGTTTGCCTGGCGTTCTCGACTTCCTCCAGCTCTCTCTCGACTTTGACCTGTCCGGTCTCGGCTCCTACTTCCACTGCCTTGGCTCCGCCCCCTTTCCTGACTCATGCCCCTCCTGTCTGGACTCCGACTTTTTCGTATGGGGCTTCGGCCTTGTCGGACATCCCTGGGCTGTTTGCCTGAACCATTGAGAGGGTAGGGAGCAGTGTAATAGGGACTTTGCACTCGAGGTTTACGGGAATTAGTCTTGGGATTTCCTCCTGTCCGTGCATATTGATCATAATCATCATAGTCATAATACACATTCTGGTTCTCACGTTCTAGCATATTAGCCAGAGCTGCATCAAATGTCTGTGACGACAAACCCATTTTCCGTCCATCAAATTTATCCCCAGCTCCCATGCCATACACATATTCACTTGGCATAACAGTATCCCTCAGATCTGATTCATAACCATTCACCATTTCAGGTTCTGATTCATATGCAGTTTGTTTACGTTCAGACTTCCGTGAATTTGACTTGAAATCATCTGTCATTCCAACACCATTTTCTGTCATCCATGCATTATTATCTATAGGGATGCCATTTGGAAGCACTGTTTGTCCATTTCCAAGATCAAATCTCACACTCTGTGCTGTGCTTGGTCGAGAGTAGGAAGACTCCCAACGTGATGTCGGATCTTTATCTCGTTTCTTTTCTGCATAGAAATCTGAATCCGGTATGGACCTCATGCTCTTACTTGAGCCAGGCCGTCCATCTAAATTACTTGCTGTTGTCCGATTTGTTTGGCTGGTACTGGGCACATTGTCATTTACCAAACTCTCAGTATACTCTGTCCGCACCGTTTGACGTGTCTGCGGAATATCGTTATATGGTACTGTGGTAAAGTGGGTCCTTGTAGTTTGACGTGTGCCTGGTGGTTCTGATGGGGCTGTGTGCTGAGTGCGAGTTGTTTGTTGAGTCCCTGGACTCCTCTCAGAAGTTTTGATTCGTTCTTTGTCCTTGGACTGAGGTACATTATATACCCCATTAGTGGCAAGATGCCCTGGAGCTGTCAGAGCCCCACGATGCCCTTCATCCTCACTTGCATATCCTTTTGCATCAGCAGTGCGAGACATTCGTAGCATTTCCTTAAATTGTTTCAACTTTTCTCGTGTTGCAGCTTCCCTCATTTCTAGATGTTTATTGTAAATCCAGGCCTTCTCCTGATCAATCTCCGTGTGTACCTATAAAACATTCTGACTGATATTAAAGGGTTTTGACCATGCCATATTCCAATCAAAATAATGCAATGATGTTAATAATCTGCAGTATTCTGTCTCTCTTGGCACACAGACAACCACGAATGTTGGTACTCTCCCCTTTAACTTAACCTTGTGAATATGCATATCTTCAATGTGAAACAAGGTCACATGACGTCAAAGTGTTATTCTGTGATGGTAATACACTGTTAACCTTATAAGACACTACTACACAGGTCATGACTGTATTCATTTACAAACGTTCAAAATAATTTCAAAGTAAAACATATCTCTGGATATAATTATGGTTTACAATGATGTACAGGGAAAAGTATTTTTTTCTTTCTTTTTTAAAATTTATTCTGAAAGGGAAGCAACAATTAGATATGGTAACATGATTTTATATAATGTACATCATTGTGTTTACAATGATGTACAGGGAAAAGTATTTTTTTCTTTCTTTTTTAAAATTTATTCTGAAAGGGAAGCAACAATTAGATATGGTAACATGATTTTATATAATGTACATTATTGTGTTGCGGGATGTCACATACAGATATACAATTATTAACAAGAAAGTGATGACAAGATCTTAAAGGAATACAAGAGTATCTGTGAAACTGAAAGATGTTCCCTGAAAAGGACTAAAGGGCAATAATTCTGTAATTAAGGGGTTGCAGACCGACCCTGAATTTGGTATACTGCACATTCTCTTAGTATGACCAATGTATACACCAAGTTTCATGCTCCTAGTTTTGATGCCAGTAAAGCAAGGGCAATAACTTAATTAATATATTAAGGGGTTGTGGGCCCTAACATTTGTACACTGCACGTTATTTCTACACCAAGTATCATTATTTAGGGTCCTGAATTTGATATGCAGCACATTGTCTTAGTATGATCAATGTATACACTAAGTTTTGTTATCGTAGTGTATACGCAAGCAAAGTTATGCTCCAGACATGAAATTTTAACAAAGGGCACTTACACTGTAATTGAGGGGTCAAGGGTCCTAACTTTGGTACACTACAAATCCCTTTATTATGACCAATTTATACACCAAATTTCATGATCCTTGCTTAACTGCGGGCAAAGTTATGCTCTGGACGCTAAAGGATGGCGGAAAGATGGACGGGCAATTTTTCATGAGGACCTGCTTCATGCCAGTACATGCAGAATTTAGAAGAAAAAGGAGTAAATCCTCAAGGCAATAGATTAGTCAACACTAACATCAATAGAGATACCTTTTCTTGTTTCTTTTCCTGGGTTTTCAGCATTTCAAACACCTGCCGTGTGTTAAGACTACCATCACGGTTGCGATATTTTCCATACTGTTCCTTCATTGTGGGTTTTTCTACACTCTCCAGTTCCTGGTGAAACTCCTCCGAGTGTTTCTGTAATTGTTGTCGCTTTTCCTCCAGAACCTCCAGTTTCTTATCAAACTTTGACTATTAATGCAAGTAATTATGTTATAAACAACATTCATAGACAGAAAACAAACGAAAATGATTCTGTTTCTTTTCCATATGTAATGATTATATTTTACTGTATAAGAACCAGGTTTGTGGTAAGCCTAAATAACACTGTCATTGTGTAAATCTCCATGGAAATCTTTCTTTTGTCCATATTTTATCCCAGTTTTATTAAAATTGAGTATGGATTAAGATCGATATGATGTTGTGTTCTCGGTTTTTGCATGCTAAATTTATCCCAGTGATAACATCATTTATTTCTATATTTTTTAACTGCTTTATTTAAGTTTAATAATTATATTATTAATAATATTAATGAATCAGATGAATAATATTTGAAATATAACGAGGAAACATTTTTGATTTTTTTTTCTGTTTGCATGATATGAAGAATTCAAATAATGATTTCCCCACTTATATTATCTGAGTATAATCAGATATCAGAGCATGGTGAATGAAGCTACAAGAAATGATTTTTCTTTACTTGTCGTCTACGAAGCTGCTTTTCCACTAGTTTCTCTCGTTCTATAAGGTTAGGGTCTGCCTCTGTTGTTTCAAGTTGAGAAATATATGCATGTTGGTCATCAACCTGTTCCTTGGTAACATTAAGTTTGTTCCTACAATGGAAGGATAATAAATGTCTTATGACTGTTACTTAAACTCAGGGTAAGATGTCAATGTAAAAAAAAGCTTGGTTTTAAGAATATACTGTATTCAACAACAAAAATAAAAATACCTCCACGTGTATTCCACCATTATTTTAACAAAATGGATACTTAAATTCCAAGACTTATGAAATCTACAACCATTTTGTTGATTTTGTCCAACAGAATATATTCCAGAGGGTGTTTTATCCAATTTGTTAACTTTGGCCATCATGATGCTTTCCAGAGGGTGTTTTATCTAATTTGTTAACTTTGGTCAACATGATGCATCTCTGAGGGAGTTTTATCTAATTTGTTTATTTTGACCTACAGGGTGTTGCTTTTACTCTGCAATATTAATTTCCTTGCAGATTAACAAGAAAAAAATAAAATCAAACCTTAAAAACAAATATTGCTGCCAAGGTCTACAACAATTCACAAATTAAAAAAAATAGAAATTACGTAGTCTGTCATAACCACTTTATATCATGTTACATTCTTCAAGGTTAAATGTAATAATAAGAGGAACTTTAATACTAAAAATAACTTCAGTTACTGATGTACCTGATTTGTTCCTCTACAATGTTGAGTTCCTGCTCCGCCAGACCTATTTTCATTTCCACGAGCTCACCCTCCTTCTCCAGCTGTGTCTGTTGCAACGTCTCCACCTTATTATTCAATTTTTTTATTTCCTTCACACGTTTCTGCTCAAATGGAGATTGGTATTTGCCCCGTCTTGATTTGGTAACTAACATCTGTGACAATGTTCGTTCTGGTTTTACTCTCTGTTCTGAAAGTATCAATGTTTTGAAAAAGATCAACAAACTGCTTTTGGAGACATGAAGATGTAAGAACATGATTGATGATGAAGTGGTACAGCGATAGAAGACACCAGGCATGCAAAGAAAATAACTAACAAAAAATACATATAATACATCTATAAAAGGACATGTTACAGCATTTTATTTCTTAATAATTGTTCTTTTTCATGTCAATAAGAAATTAAAATTACAAGAAAAGAAAGATTTGACTTGACAAAAGACTGACGATGATATATTTAAGTGGAGATGTTCACAACATATGATATTCAGAATTATTCATCACTTACTATTTCTGATAATTGATTTCCCTTATTGCTTAATGAACCTGTAATTTCAGGTGTTTGAGAAATTTTCTCAATATCACAATTTCCCTCCTGATATACTCTGTTCTTTTATTTACTGATCATTAATGTATATGGACTAAAATGAAGCCTTTCATGACTAACCCTATAACGTGAAAGTGAATTCTGATTTTAAAAATGCTGAAAGAGAGTGTTTGATGTAAAAAAAATGAAGCCAAAAGCAGTAGTTCATGGTTACTTAGTACTGAAGAAACTAATGACATAGATTTTCACATTTGTTTCCATTTCCTACCAGATTTTAACATTTAAAACAAAATCTTATTTGATAAATGTTGAGTGAAATGGAAATGCTATATTCTATACATTTGTCACTTTTTTACTTGACCAAACCTACCCTGATACACTTCCTTGGGGTCCTCTGTGTCAGTTTGAGCTAGATCATCAACAACAGTGATGCTGGGATGTTTGGTACCGTTAGTGTTGGTGACATTACGTGGAGGGTGTTGTCTGAAGCGTTGCTGAGGTCGTGGCTTTGGTTCTGATTTCTCCATCTGGCTCTCCCAAGCGTTTGTGATAGGGAAGTCAACAGTTTTTCTAAATTAGAAATTTACATAACTGTAAACCAACTTTCTCTAAAATTTGTGGAAACCATATTTCCTGAGTTCCTCAACACAACATTAATTTTTTAAAACAAACTCTTCTACACTGCACACACAAATGGTTTATAACTGTCAATAAACATCTGTTTACTTTAAATCAAGGAGTGAAAGTACACACTATCAATCTCTTGTTTCATAATTTTGAAGACATTAGAATTACCATGTGATTTCTGGAAAGGGTTTGTTTTGAAGTCAGAAGTACCCACACAGAATAAACATTTTCAGTGTCATTCTGTGATTTAGATAGATCATTAGATATAGAATGATGATCACTTACTCCCTCTCTAGTTTTTCTGGTCCTGTGTTTCGTTTTACTGGCGGTTGATGTGATACTTTCTCCTTCCGCTGGCGACTAACAACTTCGTCTGCGCTATGGTAACCATCTGGCACACCCGTAATTTGTGGATAGTTGTGATCCAGCATATTGTGATCACCTTCAGTGATAACACGCTTTAGAATTTTCAGACACTCTCGGAATTTGTACGGACTTGTTATACCTGGGGTAGAAAATGAGGAAACATATTTCATCTATGGCCATGGTATTCAATTTCAATTTCAACAAATTTTATTGACAAATGGCCATGGTATGTTATGTATAACATAGAAACTAGAAGTATATTGACAAGAGGCCTAACAGCCATGATGGTCACCTAAGGTAAGCAATGTTGAATATAAAGGTTAAAGGGAAAGTAGCTTTCAAGTGTTATAAAAAAGTAGTTGTGACATTGATGATAGTAAGCCAGTGTCAATACATGCATACCATCTAAACTGTCATCTTATACTAATAAATCTTAAAAGTTATTTCCAGTAGGAAATAAACAAAGTTATGCTAAAAAATGCAAAAATATATTTATATATAGTATAGTAAACCTCCTCAGGAAAGTTTATCTCCTCCCCAGGAAGGAATGTGAGAGTCATTTCAGTATTTAAAGCACCTTAAGACACTTCCATCCTAAAAGAGTTTTTGATTCGACAACATCTGGGTGTTGAAAAGAAGACTTTTGAAATTTAAGTCAATTTCACCCCTTTTGGCCCCACTCATCAGCCCTTTGGGGTCAGTCAGGATCAAAATGGACATACCATCAAGTTGTCATCCTTGGCTTACAATTCTAAGGAAGTTTGAAATATTTCCAGTGATAATTAAACCAATTATACTCCACTCCAAAACCTATTTCTCCTATATAAACTATAGTAAATTTTACCTCTCCCTCCCCCACCCCAGGGATATGTGAGACCCTGGGGACATAAAATTCACAATTTTTGTAAACCACCTTAAGATGTTTCCATCTATGAAGAGCATTGGATTCTATCATATCTGGGTGTCGAGAAGATTTTTGAAATTTGAGTAAATTTGACCCTTTTGGCCCTGCTCCTCAGGCCCTCATGGGATGGGAACCATATAATTCATGTTCCAGGGAAGGTTTCTGCAAAGTTTCACTGATATCAGTCAAGGAGTTTTTGAGAAATTGAAATCGTTAAATTGTTTACGGACGCACGATGCTGGATGAAGGTGATCGCAATAGGTCACCATGAGACTTTATCATTTTGTACTTAAAAAATCCCAACTTTTGTTGACATAATGGTTTAAATTTTACAATCAATGAAATTAAGACATTGGAAGACATTTCCCATCATGCTTAGGTTTTTTATAACCATCATTCATTACTTTCTGAAATTACTTTTTCTTTTTTTTTTTTAAATTATCAAAGATAAAGGACACAAGAAAACAACTTTTAACAAAGGGAAATAATTTTGTAATGAAGGGGTTGCAGGCCCTGACTTCTTAGTGTGACCTAGGTACACATAAAGTTCAATAACAATAGTTAAAATGCAAACAAAGTCACGTTCTTTGACACAAAATAATTAACAAAGGGCAAATAACTTTGTGAATTTAATCTCTGTATTTCTCTGAAATGATACCCTTGCCTCAGATGAACCAAAATCCCATTTTCTGCAAAAAATATAAATAACTTGCAAGATCTGATGGCTAAAACCCAGGTGGAGAATGCATAGTTAAAACTGACTAACTATATATTTATTAGACATATAATCGACATTGTCCTGACCTGCAGTCACTGGATCATTCAGCTGACCCCCAAGATATCTGGATACAACTTGTCCACATAAAATTTTATCCTCATCGGTCAGTTTGGCATTCATTTCCTCAATACTGAAACTTGCTCCAGTCTCCTAAAAGACAGAATATTCAAGGTATGATATTACATCGTACAGAATATCTTATCAATATGTATATGGGATTGTATCTATATTTCACAGACACTGTGCTACATTACAGAAAGTTTTCCGATGTATGACATTCTATGATGTATATATGGTCTGATAACCATTTTTTGCAAAGCGTAGTTTACTACTGATCAGACATTTCAATAAAGCATGAATTCTCCCACAGGTAAAGTTTCAACAGTCCAGAGATTCACAGATTCCATAGCTTCATGAAAGTTTGGCTGACAAATGACTGTATTTTTAGGAAGATATTGTATTAATTCTGGACATTTATAGATTTTGATTCCTGAATGACATTTGTTTTGAAAATGATTTTTTTTTTTTTTTTTTTTTATGATTAAGTTTTCAATTTTTTTTCAGGGAATATCAAAGCTGTTGTTTAGATATCACTTTAATAGAATTCAAATTAACTTACTCAAAGACGTCTATTTCTATGGTACAATAATGATGTTAGTGACCTAGAGGTACTAGTGAATATTTATAACTGTAAGACAACAGTAATATTTGATGGTTTTAGAGAAATATACATCACCTGCCCATTAGTTTACCTACCCTAGCAGCTCTCATGCAGGATAATTCAGTTTCAAGTTCTGCAACTCTCTTTCTTAACTTCTTAATCAAAGTTTTTTCATCAACTTCCTCGTTTCTCCTACGAAAAATAGAAGATTTAACGCCATAGATATAGGAATTATTATGCATTTACACCCTTACACAAATCAATGATAACTTTTCACATTTGTGAAATTTGATAAAAAGACCTAGACATAACAAAACAAAACAAAATAGACTTTATAGACAACTATATGATATGATTAAGACAGGACATCCAGAATTATGATGTTGACACCAAACAGGACAGGATGGACAGATGCGAGTGTATGCATCAATCCCTCCAAAAAAATGGTCAGGCAAACCATCAAACAGGATGGGAAGGACAGACATGGGTGTATGCATCAACCCCCCTCCCCTATAAAATGGTCAGGCACAATGACACGAACAGGACAGGATGGACAGACATGGGTGTGTGCATCAACCCCTCCAATAAAATGGTGAGGCACAATGACACGAACAGGACAGGATGGACAGACATGGGTGTGTACATCAACTCCTCCAATAAAATGGTCAGGCAAAACATAAAACAGGATGGGAAGGACAGACATGGGTGTGTGCATCAACCCCTCCAATAAAATGGTCAGGCACAATGACATGAACAGGACAGGATTAAGAGTCAAAGGTGTATGACCCCACCCTCCCTACTTTGTTAATTCATACTATATGTTAGCTAATCCCAAACTTTTGGGTGCTTATCTAGAAGACCGGCCCTTAATTGAACTTACTGATTATCAAGTTGAACACTGTTTCTATACAAATTTATATAGCCCTCATGTAACCAGATTATGTGCCTGTCAATCAATGTTTAAAACTCTGTCAAGAAATAAGAACAAACCTTTTTCTTTTTCATACCGCTAAAGTGATCTCAACACAGCTGTCCCAATAAAATAGGACTCAGTACATAGCTACATGTAACTCTATAGTCTTCACACTTATTTTGTTTGTAGCATTGTTGATACACAGTATACAGCACAAACAAACACTAATACACATTATCAAACACATACACAATAGCACAAAGGGAGACAAATTATATATCAACAAATATACACCAAGTGTAGTAAGTAACTTTAAATTTTCTTACATTAAATGAAAAAAAAAAATCAGTACAGATCTTCCTTATGTAATTAAATACCTTAATAAAATAAAAGCATTTTTGTTTTGTGTTTGTCTTTTTCTATCAAAAGCATACATGTAAATATGAAGAAAGTTTGTGAAAATACATAGAACAAATTGTTGATATTTATTTTCAGAACATTTACCACTTGAGTCAATAATGAAGCTCAAAACGACATGGAATTGTTAGGTATAGTTTTATCTATAGAATGTCAGAGAGTCCTGGACTTGACACATTATTGATCTCCAGAATTCAACAAAGAGACATACATGCAATTGGTCTAGGGTCGATTGATTGGCACGCTTGTCAGCATTTAAATTCAATAATGTGTGAAATATAAAGATCAATCAAAGTATGTATAATACACAGTATGTGGGACTTCACACAATGAACACTTATCTTTCAATTACAAACAAAAGACAATTGTGTATTCATTTGAGAATTAAAGAATTCTTGCAAGCTGTTAGAATCTTATATTATGTAAATGTGATGTACCATTACACAAACTTTAGTAAAAGGAAATTAATACCTGGTACATGTATCTCAGTAATTTATTAAAAAAAATCATTTTCCCAATACGAATCTATGCAACAAGAACACACCATTTCATGAATCTTTAATCTAAAAATTGCATAATTTGTACACTGTCTTCATTCAATATCTAAGGTTAATGACAGTAGTGTAGAAAGTAACAATTTAACATACTGCTAAGTATTTTGAAAATTATTGCATTGCATTATTTTCATTTTTCCTTCCGCATTTATTTTCCAATTTGGAATATCAAGATTGAAATACATAATTATGATTTTTCCAAGTGTCAAAGGTGAAGTAAGCACATTTTTTCTTTTGTTTACATAACAGGAAATTTATGTATTATACAAAAGCTAAATATCAAACAGAAAAAATTAGTATGACCTAGTTAATAAAAACCATCCATTTGAAATTACTGTCAATGTTTTTGAAAATCTCAATCATTTCAAAGAAAATCAATGTGTGAAATATTTTAAATTCTTGTTCTGAGACTTGATTTAATCAGACAGTGGAGCTGGAGAGGACAAAAAGCATAAAAAGCTTACAGAAAAATCTAACAAGGCGGATCGAAGGATAAGGGAATATTCCAAGCAAGCATAAGGAGAACTTCTCTAAAGGGAGGTAATTCTAATCGGAGAAATTTACACTACACATAATGCAATGAGTATAGTATAGGGAGTATATATATCATATTTCAATAAAACCTCAGTATAATTCTTGTAAGATGGGACATTCTACATGGTTGGTATAGATGTATTCTGCACATGTAAATATTTGATAATTATAAAAAGGCCAATAATGAGTAGATGTGTTTCAAGTTTTTCACAACAATAAATATTGAGAGTATGTATGACGCTGTTTTGGTAGTAACATCTAGTTCCAAAGGCTGTAACAATAGACATAAAAAGTTGATTAATCACTTATGAAAATATAGCAAGAAAAAATAATTTAGTTTACTAGTTAGTAGTCTGAGCCATGGCAGGGCACAGAACATTGTCCATCACTTCTTTGTATCAAACTTACACAATCATGTATATGTATTTACTGATGAGCAAGTTTTTTTTATAAAACCTGAAACACACCTGTCTATAAGATTTTGGCCTGGAAAAACAGGAATATGACTTCCTATATTAATAAGTGTAACAACCTTAATGGCATCTTGGACATCCTGAAATATTTAATATAATCTGAAAGAATCTGTACCATACTGTTGGAAAAGTGACATATGTCTATAGATAGTGTGCCAAACTGTCAGAAATATTATACATGTATATAGATAGTGTACCAAACTGTCAGAAATGTTATACATGTATATACTGTACCAAACTGTCAGAAAAGTCATACATGTATATAGATAGTGTACCAAACTGTCAGAAAAGTTATACATGTCTATAGATAGTGTACCAAACTGTCAGAAAAATTCTACATTTATATAGATACTGTACCAAACTGCCAGAAAAGTTATACATGTATACAGATATTGTACCAAACTGTCAGAAAAGTTATACATGTATATAGATACTGTACCAAACTGTCAGAAATGTTATACATGTATATAGATACTGTACCAAACTGTCAGAAAAGTTCTACATGTATATAGATATTGTACCAAACTGTCAGAAAAGTTATACATTTATATAGATACTGTACCAAACTGTCAGAAAAGTTATACATGTATATAGATAGTGTTCCAAACTGTCAGAAAGGTTATACATGTCTATAGATAGTGTACCAAACTGTCAGAAAAGTTATACATGTATATACTGTACCAAACTGTCAGAAAAGTTATATATGTATGTAGATACTGTACCAAACTGTCAGAAAAGTTATACATGTCTATAGATAGTGTACCAAACTGTCAGAAAAGTTATACATGTCTATAGATACTGTACCAAACTGTCAGAAAAGTTATACATGTATATAGATATTGTACCAATATCTTTTCATTATTTAATACAGAGAATTAGCAAGATAGTTAACTTGAGATAAAACAATCTGTAAGCTGAAAAGATATTAAACATCAATATCATTTTGTAGGCAAATTTAAACATTTATTTCACATGCTATCAAACACAAGCCATTTGATTAGGAACTGACAAATTCTGTTCTTTTTAGTTTTTCATTATATCACATATAGTACAAAGAAGGATACTGAGATTAAAAAGGATAAAGCCTTACAATTAAAGACCCCTCATAGATATCCAAGCCAGAGAAAAGTTTCTTTCTCACAGTTTAAAGCATCTAAAACTGCATCAGTCAGATTAGTTTACAATGTATGGAAGGCCTGAAGCAATACATAATTCATACTGTTTATATGTAATAAGAGAAAATGAGAGAGACAAATTGATCTACAGTGTATAAAACCACATACATTAAATTACTCTAACTTAAGAAAAACAGAGTGCTGTGCTTACCACACTTTGTTCCTGATAACAATGTAAACAAATTGAAACAATAATCAATAATATAAAAAGATCCTGTGTTAACAAGCTTAAGCCCCTGTGTATACAATTCAATGTCAGTATAGACCAAATATCAAGCCCCTGTGTATACAATTCAATGTCAGTATATACCAAATATCAAGCCCCTGTGTATACAATTCAATGTCAGTATATACCAAATATCAAGCCCCTGTGTATACAATTCAATGTCAGTATATACCAAATATCAAGCCCCTGTGTATACAATTCAATGTCAGTATAGACCAAATATCAAGCCCCTGTGTATACAATTCAATGTCAGTATATACCAAATATCAAGCCCCTGTGTATACAATTCAATGTCAGTATATACCAAATATCAAGCCCCTGTGTATACAATTCAATGTCAGTATAGACCAAATATCAAGCCCCTGTGTATACAATTTAAAGTCAGTATATACCAAATATCAAGCCCCTGTGTATACAGTTCAATGTCAGTATAGACCAAATATCAAGCCCCTGTGTATACAATTCAAATTCAGTATAGACAAAATATCAAGCCCCTGTGTATACAATTCAATGTCAGTACAGACCAAATATCAAGCCCCTGTGTATACAATTCAAATTCAGTATAGACAAAATATCAAGCCCCTGTGTATACAATTCAATGTCAGTACAGACCAAATATCAAGCCCCTGTGTATACAATTCAATGTCAATAAAGTATTAATCAAAAATATGAGACACCTTATAAGTGATTTAATCCTCTCTTGGATATTATACCATATATATATGCTGTTAATAAGGGGTCAAAGGTCATTTCGTCTATGAGCAGGTCACTACTGACCTGTGTCCAAGAAATGTCCAGCAGTAAGCTCACCTGACCAAATTACTGTCCAGATATGGGGCTTCCTTGGGGTTTTAAAGAAGATCACAAAAGTGAGAAACAATGAAAAGTTGGTTTATAGTATAGTAATATAATCCCATTTCTTTGTGAAGATAAATTTTCTGTTTTATCATCAGTTTATATCATATAGGTTTTATTTTCTTTTATCAATTTACCACAACATCCTATCAAACAAAATGTCTGTAAGACATGAATGCTGCTCAAATATATATCAGTATCAATATAGGAAAATTTCTATAAATAGCAGTGATGACCTTGACATTGGAACTATAAAACACTTGTGAACTCATCCAAAGCATGTTATCATAACTGACCTAAACTGCATAAAAGTTTGATCAAGTGCCGTGTGAGATCATTAAGTAACAGGAGTGACAACATGACAAACATAAGTAACACTGTGCTTCCTCATTATATGGTAGGGACATAAAAAATCTAGTAATGTTGTTTGCCACAGATCTGATAAATCTGTCTAGTGTCTTCAGATGTTATTTTTCCTTGGCTGTCTGTTTACAACACCATAAAATGAACTTGTTTATACTTACGAGACACTGTTAGCAATACAGGCCACTCGACCTGCAAATCTACAAGTAGATATAGACTCTCCAATATTCTCGATCTCCAGTGAAGTAGTTGCTATCATAGCAGTGAGACAGTTCCCACCTAAAAAACAGAGAAAAATATGACAAATAAAATTTGAATATAAAAAACATCTTCTCACCTCAATGTTAATCATTAAAAAAATAACTGGACTTTAATTGCCTTCATGTCATATATCCTAACAATAACTATATTTCAAAGTTTTTTTAAAATAGCTGTTGATGTGTGTTTTATTTTCATGGATTATCTCCCCTTACTACTGAGTATAGCTATATTTAATCAATGAAGTGTTTCAAGATGGTGGTATACAGTATAATTTTGGAGACAGATAAATCGAGTGTTGCCTTTTTGGACAACAAATTTATCTGTCATCCAAATTGTATTCAAATCAACTTCATTTTACCATCTGGTATCTGTTTATTGTATATGTTTATACATATGTACAAAATTTTTATCATCTGAAACAAGAATTGCAATTTCCTGCTTAATTAATCACTTCATCTGTATTCCTACATAGCACAAATCTCTGTAAATTGTATTTTACAGTCTCATATATCTGGTACTACAATGTGGTACAATGTTTACTCAGGAGACATCATCTGTGTTCCTACATAGAACAAATCTCTGTAAATTGGATTATACAGTCCCATATTATCTGGTACTACAATGTGGTACAATGTTTACTCAGGAGACTACAATGTGGTACAATGTTTACTCAGGAGACTACAATGTGGTACAATGTTTACTCAGGAGACATCCTCTGTGTTCCTACATAGAACAAATCTCTGTAAATTGGATTATACAGTCCCATATATCTGGTACTACAATGTGGTACAATGTTTACTCAGGAGACTACAATGTGGTACAATGTTTACTCAGGAGACATCATCTGTGTTCCTACATAGAACAAATCTCTGTAAATTGGATTATACAGTCCCATATATCTGGTACTACAATGTGGTACAATGTTTACTCAGGAGACTACAATGTGGTACAATGTTTACTCAGGAGACATCCTCTGTGTTCCTACATAGAACAAATCTCTGTAAATTGGATTATACAGTCCCATATATCTGGTACTACAATGTGGTACAATGTTTACTCAGGAGACTACAATGTGGTACAATGTTTACTCAGGAGACATCATCTGTGTTCCTACATAGAACAAATCTCTGTAAATTGGATTATACAGTCCCATATATCTGGTACTACAATGTGGTACAATGTTTACTCAGGAGACTACAATGTGGTACAATGTTTACTCAGGAGACATCATCTGTGTTCCTACATAGAACAAATATCTGTAAATTGGATTATACAGTCCCATATATCTGGTACTACAATGTGGTACAATGTTTACTCAGGAGACTACAATGTGGTACAATGTTTACTCAGGAGACATCATCTGTGTTCCTACATAGAACAAATCTCTGTAAATTGGATTATACAGTCCCATATATCTGGTACTACAATTTAATGCAATGTATACTTTCTAATGTCTTATTGATTGAAGTGATATATAGACACATTACCATGTTTCTACTAGATGATTACCTATTATCTCCTTCTGTCCTGTGGTATATTCAGATTCCTTAATCACTGTCCCTATACCCAGAGGACAATCTTTTTATGAGAACCTCATTAACTGGTAACATACTCATATTCCTTAATTCTCACTTTGCTCCACACGAAACTTACCCAGACTGTCCCTAAGGACCATTGTAAGGAGTGAGTTTCTGTACGGAACATGTTTTGGGGTGGACAAGTCTGCAGAGCCTGGTCGGGTGCCATGACGACTGTTTCTAAATGATTGACTAAAAATTTCAGAAAGAAAAAAAAAAATATAAAACTAACTTACCACAAATAAAATACATTTTTAATATTTTGAACAATTTTATCATTTCTTCAAATCCCATTGAACCATGGAAATATACACAAGATAAGGTAAAGAATTCTGATGTACATACTTTGCCTGAATTAAATTCCTTGAAAATAATGAGTTTTTGTTTTTAACTTTAAGAATTATTAGAAGAAAAAAAAGAAAATGAAGACTGTAAAAAATTGTTTTGTAAAACCATGTTTAGGTCATCTCAATACTGCTCAAGTCCTTCAGTATTTCTTACCTCCGTGACAAGCCTGCACTTCCTACTCGCTTGTTACCCGAGGATGACTCGCCCTGGAGGGAAATAATCACAGTTTCCAGAAAGTGGAGGGACAAATTGATAGACCGAGCCTCATCTAGTAGATGACCTTCAACTCCAGTCTTGGAGACTCTTTCAGATCCAGCTAAATCAACCAAATGTAACTTTGATCTGGAAAAAAATATAAAAAAATGTCTTTATAAAAACATGTTATGTGTACTGTATTCTGCAATAAGCCCATGCCTGGTAATAAGCCCATAACTGGAGATAAGCCCAGACACTCACTTATACATGCTGTTCTGTAAAATCTTAAACCAATATTATTCTTGTTCTGGTTGGTAGATGTGTCGATAAGGGAGTCCAATGTCCTGTGTGTGGTACTGGTTGGTAGGTGTATTGGTAGAAGAGTCCAATGTCCTGTGTGTGGTACTGGTTGGTAGATGTATGGGTAGAGGAGTCCAACATCCTGTGGGTGGTACTGGTTGGTAGATGTATGGGTAGAGGAGTCCAACATCCTGTGGGTGGTACTGGTTGGTAGATGTATGGGTAGAGGAGTCCAACATCCTGTGGGTGGTACTGGTTGGTAGATGTATGGGTAGAGGAGTCCAATGTCCTGTGGGTGGTACTGGTTGGTAGATGTATGGGAAGAGGAGTCCAATGTCCTGTGTGTGGTACTGATTGGTAGATGTATGGGTAGAGGGGTCCAATGTCCAGTGTGTGTTACTGATTGGTAGATGTATGGGTAGAAGAGTCCAATGTCCAGTGTGTGTTACTGGTTGGTAGATGTATGGGTAGAGGGGTCCAATGTCCTGTGTGTGGTACTGGTTGGTAGATGTATGGGTAGAGGAGTCCAATGTCCAGTGTGTGTTACTGGTTGGTAGATGTATGGGTAGAGGGGTCCAATGTCCTATGGGTGGTACTGGTTGGTAGATGTATGGGTAGAGGAGTCCAATGTCCTGTGGGTGGTACTGGTTGGTAGATGTATGGGTAGAGGAGTCCAATGTCCTGTGGGTGGTACTGGTTGGTAGATGTATGGGTAGAGGGGTCCAATGTCCTGTGGGTGGTACTGGTTGGTAGATGTATCTATAGAGAAATCCTAGGTTGATACTGGCGTATTCTAGTAAATTTCCTAAGAAGATAGGTAATAACAAGTAGATAGAGGATGGAGCATTAACACCAGGGATTCTGTGAATTAGATTTTATTTGTTGACATGTTTCGGTTGCCTAGGCCGACCGTCTTCAGAAACATTGCTCTTTATTAGTTAATCCCATTTTCAGAAAAGCAATGTGTGTTGGTCCTGTGGGCTTATTCTGGGAAAAATGTTTCTAAGAAATTGTTAAAAAAACATCATCCATATTCCAATGTAGTACTTTAATATCAATCACCACTAGTGTATGAAAGCATGTGTACCATATTTATCTAGCAATAACCCTGTGCTTTGTAATAGGCCCACCCATATATATGAACTTCAGAAGAAATGCTGGCATATGTCAAGTCTTTGTTCTGTAATAAGCCCATGTCACTGCTTTACTTTGAGTCAGTGGTAACATTCAGGCCTGGGCGTTGCTTGATAAATACTGTATTGATCGGAAATTACTGTCTTTTAAAGTCTGACCCGAAATCTGTCCCAACTTTGTCATCACAATAAATCCTAGTTAATGCCTCGCATGTTTAAACCCTGACAAAAGTGAACAGGTCTGTCACACCAAAAATTTGATGGAACTTAATATATGTCGATGTGTTATACATGTATACACATGTATACAAATATCTGTTTCCATGTGGAAAAGTTAAAAAATAACACAGTTCCAGCAGAGTGTTTATATGATATTACCCTCAGCTATAGAAGTTGTCCATACTAAAATATACATGTACAAGCAGTATTGATTCAGTTGACTTTGTATAGGTTGTAGTTAAATATTATACCATACTATTAGTTCCAAAACTAGAAATATTCAATATGACATATATATCTATATATTCCTCCTAGTCCGTTTTCTTGCCTGTATTCTATTTTAACATGACTATATATTATATATTTTAATATATAGAGGATTAAACATTCAAGGTTCCTATATTCTACAAGTTTTAAATACCAACTTACCACATTTCAAATTCCATGTGCAAGGTGTGTAGAGTAATCGAGGAGATTAAACAAGATTAAAGCATTGATAACAAAGTTAACACTACTCAGCTTTCATAATGTATCTAATATGTAATTATAATTCTTTAACAAGTGTTACCTATTATTTGACAGTAAAGTTGGATATCAATCCCACTGGTGAAACTTGAGAAGTTTGAAATAGGTGCTGCACAGGAAAACCATGATTATGCAATCATGTTTTCAAAACAGCCTCCCTGGCTGTCGTGTCGAAGTTTGAAATTTCAAAAGTTAACACACGATGGACTGTGGATGGCAGACAACTACAGACGAAACACAATGGCTATAGGTCATGACCTACAAATGTTAGCTGTATGTTTTTATCTAGCATCAGTGAAGTTTTAATTTTTTGTGGACAAATAGTAAGTGCTTGTCTTAGCAGTCCCCTTTTTCTATACATTACAAACATGTTTCAGTATCAAGTGTGACAGAATAAGCAAGTGACATTATATTTACCATCTAACAAAAGGTTTAGGAAAATCCATGAGTAATACGACTTCTAGAAATGTAGTAACTGACCATAAAAACATCTTCCAGACATATGGATTAGCATAATCTATGTAACCACTACTGTGTTGTTTTATAAATCCAGCACTTTCAAGCTAAGCAGAAGCTTAAGTTTGCTTTTTCTACATCAAAATACAATCCTATTTCACAGCTGCCTTAAGATCCCGAGAGTGTGCCTTAATATCCCGAGAGTGTGCCTTAAGATCCCGAGAGTGTGCCTTAAGATCCCGAGAGTGTGCCTTAAGATCCTGAGAGTGTGACTTAAGATCCCGAGAGTGTGACTTAAGATCCCGAGAGTGTGCCTTAAGATCCCGAGAGTGTGACTTAAGATCCCGAGAGTGTGACTTAAGATTCTAAGAGTGTGCCTTAAGATCCTGAGAGTGTGACTTAAGATTCTAAGAGTGTGCCTTAAGATCCTGAGAGTGTGCCTTAAGATCCTGAGAGTGTGACTTAAGATTCTAAGAGTGTGACTTAAGATCCTGAGAGTGTGCCTTAAGACCCTGAGAGTGTGACTTAAGATCCTGAGAGTGTGCCTTAAGATCCTGAGAGTGTGACTTAAGATCCTGAGAGTGTGACTTAAGATTCTAAGAGTGTGCCTTAAGATCCTGAGAGTGTGCCTTAAGATCCTGAGAGTGTGACTTAAGATCCTGAGAGTGTGACTTAAGATTCTAAGAGTGTGCCTTAAGATTCTAAGAGTGTGCCTTAAGATCCAGAAAGTGTGCCTTAAGATCCCGAGAATGTGCCTTAATATCCCGAGAGTGTGCCTTACGATCCTGAGAGTGTGCCTTAAGATCCAGAAAGTGTGCCTTAATATCCCGAGAGTGTGCCTTAAGATCTAGAGAGTGTGCCTTAACATCCCGAGAGTGTGCCTTAAGATCTAGAGAGTGTGCCTTAACATCCCGAGAGTGTGCCTTAAGATTCTAAGAGTGTGACTTAAGATTCTAAGAGTGTGCCTTAAGATCTAGAGAGTGTGCCTTAACATCCCAAGAGTGTGCCTTAAGATTCTAAGAGTGTGACTTAAGATTCTAAGAGTGTGCCTTAAGATCCTGAGAGTGTGCCTTAAGATCCTGAGAGTGTGACTTAAGATCCTGAGAGTGTGACTTAAGATTCTAAGAGTGTGCCTTAAGATTCTAAGAGTGTGCCTTAAGATCCAGAAAGTGTGCCTTAAGATCCCGAGAGTGTGCCTTAATATCCCGAGAGTGTGCCTTAAGATCCTGAGAGTGTGCCTTAATATCCCGAGAGTGTGCCTTAAGATCCCGAGAGTGTGACTTAAGATCTAGAGAGTGTGCCTTAACATCCCGAGAGTGTGCCTTAAGATCCTGAGAGTGTGACTTAAGGTCCTGAGAGTGTGCCTTAAGATCCTGAGAGTGTGCCTTAAGATCCTGAGAGTGTGCCTTAAGATTCTAAGAGTGTGCCTTAAGATCCAGAAGGTGTGACTTAAGATCCTGAGAGTGTACCTTAAAATCCCCAGAGTATATCAATAGTAATCTGTTTCCTCTTGACTATGACTAGAAAATATATAAGACATATATGACTCTGCTGCCTTATATATTCATTGGTTGATGAATTTTTCAGAAGTTGTAAAATGTGACTTTTTCATCCTTTGATCTTGATCTATGGCCTGTGACCTTGACATGAAAATTAAGGTGAAGAACATGATGTAATGATACGATGGAGTAAAATATGAACCAAATATCTTTTGAATAGTTCTCAATATCTAACAATGATTCGGAACAGGATGAAACAGCCGAATACAGGTATATGTCACCCCATACAATGGCAGGGACGCGGAGTTGTGCCTCTACCATTTTTATAATTATAACTAGCCATCACTTCACCAATGAATGTCCCTCCTCCTGATATATAGTAATTCTGACATCTAACAACACTATAAAACCATTGTGTAATTGTTGATAAAGAAAATAGATTGATTATCATCACTTTACATGTATTTATAAGGAGGTCGCAGTCATGAAATCCAACATTTAACTTTCAACAAACGTGATATCTTAAAAATAAACACTTCTAGCTCCAGGTGAGTGTCAATTGATAAGTTCTTTATATCAATGAACTAGCTCGTCAAGATTTCTTTAGATTTTCAACAAATTTAGTGCAGAAATATCAATCCAAGATTACCAGCTTTGTGTGTCTACTTTAAATTAACATTTAGCAACCTTCTAATCACCAGAATGACTGTTATAAAAGTAGGATACAATCTGAATAAAACTTATAAGGATACAGAATTTTTATATATACAAGCCTTAATGCATTAAATCTTTGTCAGGCTCCATCAACCATTGGAGTCAGCTCACAGCAGTTTTCCTCTTCATTTTCTTTCCTATCAATCAAACATATTATCCCTGATACCTGTATCATGTTTCTTCTGCCAGTAAATCAGATTTCTCATCAAATACACAGGTTTCAAAAGAATTTAATACCTAAAACAGTATTTCATAATAATCTCCACATCTGATAAATTTTACTGCAGTTTTCACTGTTCACACATTGATCCCAATCTAACACCATTTAATACACATATGATAAATTTTACTGCAGTTTTCACTGTCCACACACTGATCCCAATCTACCACTATTTAATACACATATGATAAATTTTACTGCAGTTTTCACTGTCCACACACTGATCCCAATCTAACACCATTTAATACACATATAAATTTTACTGCAGTTTTCACTGTCCACACACTGATCCCAATCTAACACTATTTAATACACACCTTTCTGTAGATGATATAAAACAGTGCAGCATAATTTAAACAACATCTATTTCCATGTACACATCCTGTCATTCAGAAAACATAAATACAAGAAAAATATTTGTACAACATATATATATACCTTTGACTAAGTTTTGAAATCAACTGTGTGACACAAAGCATCATTTGTTTTATATAACATGTAATACATTATATTCACCCATGTGTTATCACACCACCAACACAGATGTGTCTTTGTGTTTGAGATATAACCACAGCAAATAACGTCCATTTAAAGTTAAGGTCACCAGAAAGTGTTCCTTCAAATATCCCTGATAAAAATCGAACGATTTTACAAAACAACAATGTTCCTGATTTTACAGTGAATGTATACAAGTAAATTACCGTTCACTGAATCAATATATCTGTGGCCTCCAAACTCTCTGAGTATGATTAGACATTGTAGAAAAAGTTAGTCCTCAGGAAAGGATTTTCATCTTGACTAACAGGTCTGATCCTTTAACGAGGTAACGATTCTTAAGTGCCAATAATCACAAGACACTGCTACAAAGGATTATCTGTGGTTCTTAGGCCAGACCAACAAATTTTTAGATGTTCATTGTGCCAGATATGTTTTCAGTAAGATAGCTTTCAAATTCAAATGTTTTATTAGAGTGTCAAAAACATAATATACATTTGCATTATTCATAAAATCACATCACATTATACCAGGTAAGATCAAAGCTGGATTACTAGAGATATTTTATAACACGTGAAATATAACCTACTAACGCATTACATTTATTCTGTTTCTCACTTAAATTGTAAGAATGTTAATTATTAGTCCACACAAAGTAATTTATTGTAATATTCTTAATGAAGAATTAAAAACCAAGACTACCAGAGTAAAATGTCTCCACAAATTCATGGTAAAATGATATCCCTGTAATACCTAGAATATCATATTTTCTATCAGTATACAATATGTATTAGATATACAAACTCAAAACATGTCATTATCATATACATCTTTGTGTATACTGTACATAAATTTCTATCTAAGAATCAGGTACATTTCTGTTTTCAGAACAAATTACGGAGCACAAGATCATTCTTTTTCTCTCAGCTGATTGATTCAATAAATTGTCTGATTATTATGTGAAAAAATATATATTATTCAAATAAAAAATAATTAACAGCTTTTCACAAAATGAAATGCATTCATGACTGTTCAATCCCTGTATGTCTCAAGTGTTATAGGATTCAACACATAATTTGTTTTCTTTGGCCTATTTAAATCACCAGTTCTTGTCTCAAATCTGTAAACATCACACTGGACATCAAGTGTTATGTCTATTTTTCTTCTAAACATTCTCACAGACTAAGTCAACAACACTTTCCTCAAGATATTTGTAAGTAAACTAAATCAGAAGGCAATGAACTAGAAAAATTGATGATGTAAACAGTATACACGCAAAATGAAATATTTTATTCACAAAGATTTATAGAAAATTAATCTTTTTAGGATGATTGCAATATAACCTTACACAAAAATACAGTGTATCTACCAGAGCTAGGTCTTGTTTCAGACTAAGAAGTTAAAACTTATCCCATCTGTCAGTAACTCGGGTATATTTCTATATACATAGTATGGTACCAACTGTTTTGAAAGAACAGAATCAAAATAAATTCACTGTGATAAGTTTTAAATCTACACAAATTAAGGATTTTTGTAGACAGACATATCAGATAAATCTCTTAATGTAAATTAAATGTGATCTTTTTGTTTTAAAGAATGTTTTGTTTTCCCTTTAACTTAAAGAAAACATCTATTATTGCTTTTCTACAAAAGCTTTTCTTCAAGGGCTTCTGACTTTACAATTTCAGTGACATTCAGTGAAACGCTTTACACAGTGAGGATCTTACTCGAGTCTGTTTCATGAATGGTAAAACAAAGAAACAAAACCCCAAATAATACAAACATGTTGAACGAATCTTAATTCAAACTGAAAATATAAGCAATCATAAGGACGTTTACTTAAACCTTCCCCAGAGTAGTCATCAAATGCACCTGCCTGCATCTCTCTGACTTAGTTCAATGTGATCATAAGGACGTTTACTTAAACCTTCCACAGAGTAGTCATCAAATGCACCTGCCTGCATCTCTCTGACTTAGTTCAATGTGATCATAAGGACGTTTACTTAAACCTTCCACAGAGTAGTCATCAAATGCACCTGCCTGCATCTCTCTGACTTAGTTCAATGTGATCATAAGGACGTTTACTTAAACCTTCCCCAGAGTAGTCATCAAATGCACCTGCCTGCATCTCTCTGACCTAGTTCAATGTGATCATAAGGACGTTTACTTAAACCTTCCCCAGAGTAGTCATCAAATGCACCTGCCTGCATCTCTCTGACTTAGTTCAATGTGATCATAAGGACGTTTACTTAAACCTTCCCCAGAGTAGTCATCAAATGCACCTGCCTGCATCTCTCTGACTTAGTTCATGTAAGTCTAAGAAATATCAACTTCAGCAAGTGTTTGGTGAAACGCAATTAAAAAATTCTGATTGAATTGAATATTGCTGCATTTTACTGAGATTAGCGGAAATTATTTGTGTTCTGTCGGGCACATGGTAGTAAGAGTAATGTGCTGGGTAGGCAGGTAGAAGGTAGTGATTCTCTAGCCATCACCATTACAGTTTGGTTGCAGGAAATATTATTTTTTCTTTTTTATTAGTTGTCTGCTAGTTATTTTTACATTTTTTTAATTCCTAGTCCGGGAAACTTGTTTCCTTGTGTTGGTCAATGTCAAGTTTTATACTATGCGCCTCTGTTTTGGAATCTGATTAAAACAGAAATTTTACTTTAAGCATACTTGTAGCCCCAGTTTCCAGCACTACACCTAGACTTGGTCGCGATGGGCAATCAAGATTTTTCCCGACATGGAATACAGATTTCCAGGGGCTATCTCTGTTTTTCGTGGGCTGCAGATTTCAAGTTTCAGGGTGGTTAAGTGTTGAAGTGAGGGAAAGATTTCTGCAGAGCTTAAGAAGCTCAGAAGCTTCATTAAAATCATTTAATCATCTCTTAAAACAATGTATTGTATTGACGTACTCTGAATTCTTGTATTTACAGAGACTAACTAAATGTGACTGCTTATCTTGACAGCTATTATGGCAAGTGTGACATAATGTGTCCTTTAAACTAAGTGTAGAGAAGATTATCTAATGCTGAAATATATAACATAAATATACAAAATTCTCTAATAAACAGGGAAACGTTCAGATTAAATTTCCACTTTAACAGATAACTTATATCTACTCAAAATAGCTACCTGGTAACATATTTATCTAGCATGTTATGGTTATGATAATGTAAGGCGCTCTTCTTTTACTACTAAAGCTTTTTGAATTTAGAAGTTATATCTGCAGTACAAGGGGAGTAACTCTTTTCCAAAATGTTTGTGAATTTTAAATTATATCTGTAGTACTAGGGAAGTAAGTCTTTTCAAAACAAATGAAACAAACAGGAGGAAGTATGAAGCCTTAAGTTCATGAATCATTTTCCTAAGGGTAATGAAACTCAATTTGTTGTTTGGTTTCAAATAAAATTAGGTACATTGTTGGAAAAAAGGCTATGGCTTAAGGTACACAAGACACAAGAAATTCAAGCATGTGTTGAGTGCTGCAACAATTAATAGTACTGGGTCTACAATAGATCTACAACAGACATATGTCAACATCAACAGTAGAATGACAATGATACATAATCACATACATACAATAAAGATATGTTATCACTAACAAAGTAGGAAAATCAGCCAACTTTCAGAACAGATGACGGATCCTTTAGGACGGCCATAGTAATTCCAATTACTACTTCTTAAGACAAAGATGATCTTGAGTAATGTTGAAACTGTTTATTGATACAAGATTTTTAATATAATTTTAAAGCAAACTTACTTAATGATGACGTCTGAGTTGGGTTGTTTGGCAGACAGTTGGACGGTGAACACGGCGTGAGAACGAGAGGATCTGTCATGAACAGTTGTTGCAGCAACACGTCGATTGGCTTGGCCTTGTAATAATAAGTTTTGAGCCACATCCTCGCTGGCTGCATAATGTACTGACAAGTTACGTACCACCCATACACCGCTAGCGCCTTCAAGCACATTTACCTACATCAAACATCTACAGGTTTACAAGAGGATAACAATGACAATGAAAATGCTATTACAATGCAGAGAAATAGACCTGTTTTTGTTTATCCTTTCATTTATCAAGTATAACATTTGCAAACTTACTATATACTAAAATTTCCATAAACATTTAAAAAAAGAAATGTCATAATATGAAAACATGGGAGATATAAACATTTAGTAATCATCCACGGTAAAAAAAGGAAAACCTGACCTTAATTTACTACAACACTCTTTGTATCTTTGCCTGGGTGTATTGAAGCGAAGTAGTTTGTTACACATTTCCTCCTGATATGAAGCCATTGGCCCCATCCCTAAACAAGTGAGAAAAGCCCTGTGGTGTGACAACATACTGAGTCCTAACCATAGCTTAGTGACTGTCATACAATCACTTTTGGCAAGAGAGTGAAAACAGATTACTGGGTCCAAAATATATAACTATGTATCCCAAGCAGTAAGCCAAAGTCTGGTCGTAAGTTTGCCCATTATATAATACATAATGTGAATGTTGCTGTTGAGTAAAACAACAATCAATGACAGTTCAGTTCACTGTGTGTACCTGTGGTTTCCCCTGACTTCTGAGTTAGAGGTAATATGTTGACCTCCTGGGCTTATCCTCCTACAATAACACTACCCCTGACTTCTGAGTTAGAGGTAACGTGTTGACCTCCTGGGCTTATCCTCCTACAATAAGCCTACCATGGACTCCTGAGTTAGAGGTAATATGTTGACCTCCTGGGCTTATCCTCCTACAATAACACTACCCCTGACTTTTGAGTTAGCAGTAATATGTTGACCTCCTGGACTTATTTCCACATAATAAGCCGATCCTGACTTATGAATCAGAGGTAATGTTTTGGCAGTCTGCGCTTTTTGTCCTATAATAAGCCCACCCCTGACTTTAAGTCCAAAGAAATGTGTTGGTATCCTGGGGTTTTAGTAAGATGAATTGATATAAAGGTCAGAATCCCAAAGCTAGTTACCTTTGGGAAGGGTGTTACAACAGACTGGGTCCTGGCACCAGGGTTGAGAAGATCGTATCCAATCTCTTTGTAGATTTCCAGATAGGATATATGCACACTGATCTCCTCATCTTGTCTCTTCTCAAGCTCCTTGTATATCATGGAGAGTGCCCTAAGATGGTAGAACACAATCTTAACTGTTGTCAGATATGTGAAAAATAGAATGCCTGAAAACTGTAGATAGATAGGCTCTTCTGAACAAGTTTTAGAGAATGATACATTTGTTCAAAAATATGTAAATTAATGCTTAAAACCATAAAATATTACAAAATTTAATATAAAGAACAATCCAAGTTAAAGGTTTGAACTGAAGGGTTCATAAACCTAGTTCATCTCAACTTAATATACATGTGCCTTTAAAAATAGGGAAAATATTACATTGGTTTTCTATAATATCCAACTGGAATATCTTCCAGCCATGTTCGTTACTTCAGGTTAATTAGAAAATCATGTATTCTATCAAGGATTGATAACAATAAACTAAAACAAAGAAAACACCCTGACTACTTGTTGTTTGACTAGGTGACGTATCACAGTAAAACATTTAGTCCTTTATAAATTGTACCCACCTTGGTTGAAGTCCTCTCTGAGCGTAAGACTTGGCCCCACCTTCCACAGTAAAAGTTTTACCCGTTCCTGTCTGGCCGTATGCAAATATCGTCCCATTGTAGCCATTTAAGAAACCTGGAATAGCCATAATTAATTCTAAGATTTGGGAATCAAAACCTATATCTCTAACAATAACCACATGGTATTTTCTAGATTATTGGTAATGAGGACACTATCCAGACTTGGTAAATGCACCATTCAAATCAACAATTGAGATGGAATGGAAAGTATGGTATTTGTTACATCTATGCAATATAAAATAATTACTGTTGAATCAGTTTTAAAATATTTCCAGTCCATCCTCCTGTTGAGAATTTAAGTGAATCACCTGACTTTGAATTTTATTTTAATCAGAAATTAAATCCATCAAGATCATACTTGTAACAATCCTTCATATAAGTTGTTCAGGTGAAGAAGAAACAGAAATAACAGGTCCAACATATAAATAAACAGAAAGGAAATGTTAAATTTTTCAATAAAATCTTAGAAATGATTTGTCTTCTTGAAATGTTAATCATAAAAACACAAATATAAATATAGCAATTTACAAGAATTAGTGATGACTGGATTAACAAGGATTAGTGATGACTGGATTAACAAGGATTAGTGATGACTGGATTAACAAGGATTAGTGATGACTGGATTAACAAGGATTAGTGGTGACTGGATTAACAAGGATTAGTGGTGACTGGATTAACAAGGATTAGTGATGACTGGATTAACAAGGATTAGTGGTGACTGGATTAACAAGGATTAGTGGTGACTGGATTAACAAGGATTAGTGGTGACTGGATTAACAAGGATAAGTGGTGATTGGATTAACAAGAACTAATGATGACTGGATTAACAAGGATTGGTGATGACTGGATTAACAAGGATTAGTGATGACTGGATTAACAAGGATAGGTGGTGACTGGATTAACAAGAATTAGTGTTGACTGGATTAACAAGAATTAGTGATGACTGGATTAACAAGGATTAGTGATGACTGGATTAACAAGGATTACTGATGACTGGATTAACAAGGATTACTGATGACTGGATTAACAAGGATTAGTGATGACTGGATTAACAAGGATTAGTGATGACTGAATTGACAAGGATTAGTGATGACTGGATTAACAAGGATTACTGATGACTGGATTAACAAGGATTAGTGATGACTGGATTAACAAGGATTAGTGATGACTGAATTAACAAGGATTAGTGATGACTGGATTAACAAGGATTAGTGATGACTGGATTAACAAGGATTAGTGATGACTGAATTAACAAGGATTAGTGATGACTGGATTAACAAGGATTACTGATTACTGGATTAACAAGGATTAGTGATGACTGGATTAACAAGGATTAGTGATGACTGAATTAACAAGGATTAGTGATGACTGGATTAACAAGGATTAGTGATGACTGGATTAACAAGGATTAGTGATGACTGGATTAACAAGGATTAGTGATGACTGGATTAACAAGGATTAGTGATGACTTTCTTGATCAAGAATGTACAAATGCTATACAACACCTTATGTATCACGCAAAGTAAAACATTTTTTTTGTAAATAATCGGAGAAAACTACTCACCCTCCACAATCTCTTTTGCTGCCACATCAAACACCTCATCCTGTGTAGCAGTATTGTTAAAAATGTAATTAAACTTAAATTCATGACTGATTACAGCACCTCGCGACTTTCCACTTGACGAAAAATCCCGCAATACTTCAGGAACACGTAGATAAAGTGTTTCCTGGCTAACCTCAAACTCAGGATAGTAATCTGGAGTAGGCTTTATACGGCAGAACGTTTTTATCTGCGGCATGCTGTTGTTTTGGTCGTTTTTCACCAAAAATCTTATTTGACAGGAACTACACGGTTAAAGGTCATCTTGGTCTCCTATTAGTAAAATCACCGCTCCGTGGCGAAGAGGTATCCTGGAATGTATACAACATACCGTATTAATACTAAGTTTTCATTGATAAGCATATAGATCATCCAAGTATGAATGAATTTTTTTATCTTCACGACTATCAGTCAGGTAAAAAATCCTCAAAACAATGATACAATGTGTCTCACTTTCATTTGTGTTCAAAAGTGACACAGAGTCAGTAATAATGGTGCATAGGTTAGTCCGAGTATCCTTAACTCGGATATCTGGGGGTGTGCAGTGCGATTTGGAAGGTAGGGGCAAATTTAAACAGGGAGTATGTCAACTACAACAAACTAGCTGTAGACACTGAGTCCAATCATATCAAGTCGGTAATTGGGTGTTTTGTAAATCAATGTCCATTCTAATGAGGATGTACATATATGTATATATAAGTAAATTTCCCAGCTGAAACTGGATTATGTAAAGTATCTGGATATATGGAATAAATAAAATATATATATATAAAAACAACTATCCATGGTGGAATAAGGAAGCTTTATACCTGAGATGGAATGTAAAAAAGGAAATCAGTGGTTGGGGTAGAGATGTCCACAGGAGTGGACTTAAATGTAATAACATCTATTTACCATCTCTAACTACTTTGAATTCATACCGAGAAAAAAAAGAAAAACGAAATGGAGTGAGGTTGTATACCATAAGTATACATGTGTAAAACAAAATAAAAATATGCAGTTCATCAACAGTATTATTAATAAGGTATACTTACAAATATAGACACATCAAACATAACTCGGTCATAATCCTGATAATAAGGATAAATGTGTATGTCCCTTAGATCTCGGTGTATTATTGTAACTAAGGTCGTTTACAAGTAAACTTAACAGAGAATGGCATACATTTCACCTGTTCAATGTGTGCTCGGCTGAAACCCATAAAAATTGTCTCACAACACAGCCTCTGTTTTACCAGAGATTAACAGGGGATTTTTAAACAACAACAAAAATTTGATTTTTGACAATGGACAATTGTTTGTACACGTGTATACACTAGTAAGTATATAATTTATGACATTACTTACACCGCCCCTACCTCTTACAATATACAGCTGTGTCATTGAAACAACTTCAACGAAATGCCTAAGAAATTGACGGAACTGTTTTAGCTATCAATATAAGGAGTGGAAAAGATTGTACAGTTAGAAGATAACTTCATGCCTTAAATCTGTACAGAGAGTGGGAATGTGATAACATCTATTTACAGTCTCTAATTACTTTGAATGCTAATTCACACTTTTACCCCAGTTTTCTGTGTATAATTCTAAAATCTTTTATCACTGGGAGTATTGTGCTGTTACCTGCTCTAGTTTAAAGTAACTTTAGTATCTCTATCATATCCTACAACAGCTCTGTGGCAAAAGTGATGCTATCTTTTTATAAATGTCAGTGTGTTTTTTCCTTATTGATTTTACAGCAACCTAGGCCATCATGAAACGTGAAAATAAAGGATTTTCTAGGAAAAATAACAAATATTGTTAAATGAAACAACATGTTTCTTATCCTGTAATGTAATTTTGGCATAGAATATTCATTTATTTTCTTATTTCAGGAAGATGTGTCCTCTTCTTTTTTGAAATGGAAGATTTTTTGTTGTTCCCTACCATATGATTCCATATGATTTATCTATACCCCACCCCCTTCCCCTATTTTTTATTCATCAAACTGAAGCAAAAAAACGTTTATATCTTTCCGGAGATTTAGCATATTTATTTCTTTAATTCATGTTTATATAAAACAGGTAAACAAAAAAAATTCTGTATGTATAGTACCTTTTTTCCCCAACACATGTACACAGATTACATCCAAGTCAAATTTACTTGTTACAGACTGAAGCGTACCTGTCAAGATTCCTAATTACAATTGACTATTCAAGTAAATAAATGTATCTTAATCTGATTTACTTATTTGTTATACGTTAATTAACTGTATAGACCTTTAAATCATTAATCAGATTACACACAGATTTTTTAATTACAGTGAGAAAGAGAAAAAAACCATGATCACTCTAAATATTATGTAGACATAGACTGTCTACACATAAACTAAACAGACATAATAACAAAAAGACACGTTACCTAGAAAATGAGATCCAAAGAAAAATCTCATAAGCATGTACACCATCCAACTGTTATTTTGATTTTTATATCTACAATAAGTTGAAATTATTTGTTTGTATATATAACTACTCAAAAATATTTTGGATAATTACAGCATTTTATAATACAATTCTACAATACAATGAATATTCTAAAGGGGAAACAAAATAATTAAATTATAAAATATAAATCAAACATAAAAAATGTATGATTGATTCTTTATTGCATATGTAATTATTTCAGGCATCAAGAAATCCTATCAGTTTAAATCTTAAAGTTTTCTGGATATATAGATACAAAGAAATATTGAAGGCTGTACTGCTTGAATTGTAGCCCAGAAAAGTGTTAAGAATGAAATATTATTCTTACATGAAATGTACCCTATGTTACTCTTAACTGTACACAATATCAATGTATTTTGTTGTGCCTTCATTTGTTTATTGTATTTCAAAGATTTAATAACTGGAAAACTCCCACATCAAATATTTTAATGCCTGATTAAAAACAGTGAATGACTGCCGATAATTTAGTGTGTTTATAAGGACAGTTCCTTTCAGCACTTACCTAGCCCTGAACAAGTGAATTATTCTAAACTCATTTTGGCTGTTCACCAATAAATGAGTAAGAATCAATTGTAACCTAACTTAATCATACAGTAAATGTGGGTTTACTTATCATATACTGTAGGGGTAGGTTTACTTAATCATAGCGTAGGGGTAAGTTTACTTTATCATATACTGTAGGGGTAGGTTTACTTAATCATAGCGTAGGGGTAAGTTTACTTTATCATATACTGTAGGGGTAGGTTTACATCATCATACTGTAGGGGTAGGTTTACATCATCATACTGTAGGGGTAGGTTTACTTTATCATATACTGTAGGGGTAGGTTTACTTTATCATATACTGTAGGGGTAGGTTTACATCATCATACTGTAGGGGTAGGTTTACTTAATCATAGCGTAGGGGTAAGTTTACTTTATCATATACTGTAGGGGTAGGTTTACTTAATCATAGCGTAGGGGTAAGTTTACTTTATCATATACTGTAGGGGTAAGTTTACAGTATCATACTGTATGGGTAGGTTTACAGTATCATACTGTAGGGGTATGTTTTCATTATCATACTGTAGGGGTATGTTTTCATTATCATACTGTAGGGGTAGTTTAACATTATCATACTGTAGGGGTAGGTTTACATTATCATACTGTAGGGGTAGGTTTACATCATCTTACTGTAGGGGTAGGTTTACATTATCATACTGTAGGGGTATGTTTTCATTATCATACTGTAGGGGTAGGTTTACATTATCATACTGTAGGGGTAGGTTTACATTATCATACTGTAGGGGTAGGTTTACATCATCATACTGTAGGGGTAGGTTTACATCATCATACTGTAGGGGTAGGTTTACATCATCATACTGTAGGGGTAGGTTTACATTATCATACTGTAGGGGTAGGTTTACATTATCATACTGTAGGGGTAGTTTTACATTATCATACTGTAGGGGTAGGTTTACATTATCATACTGTAGGGGTAGGTTTACTTTATCATATACTTTAGGGGTAGGTTTACTTTATCATATACTGTAGGGGTAGGTTTACTTTATCATAGTGTAGGGGTAGGTTTACTTTATCATATACTGTAGGGGTAGGGTAGGGGTAGGTTTACTTTATCATATACTGTAGGGGTAGGTTTACTTTATCATATACTGTAGGGGTAGGTTTACTTTATCATATACTGTAGGGGTAGGTTTACTTTATCATATACTGTAGGGGTAGGTTTACTTTATCATATACTTTAGGGGTAGGTTTACTTTATCATAGTGTAGGGGTAGGTTTACTTTATCATATACTGTAGGGGTAGGTTTACTTTATCATATACTGTAGGGGTAGGTTTACTTTATCATATACTGTAGGGGTAGGTTTACTTTATCATATACTGTAGGGGTAGGTTTACTTTATCATATACTGTAGGGGTAGATTTACTTTATCATATACTGTAGGGGTAGGTTTACTTTATCATAGTGTAGGGGTAGGTTTACTTTATCATATACTTTAGGGGTAGGTTTACTTTATCATAGTGTAGGGGTAGGTTTACTTTATCATATACTTTAGGGGTTGGTTTACTTTATCATATACTTTAGGGATTGGTTTACTTTATCATATACTGTAGGGGTAGGTTTACTTTATCATAGTGTAGGGGTAGGTTTACTTTATCATATACTGTAGGGGTAGGTTTACTTTATCATATACTGGGGTAGGGTAGGGGTAAGTTTACATATCATATACTGTAGGGGTAGGTTTACATTTCATACTCATATACTGTAGGGGTAGGTTTACTTTATCATATACTGTAGGGGTAGGTTTACTATCATACTGTAGGGGTAGGTTTATTATCATACTGTAGGGGTAGGTTTACTAAGGGGTATCATATATACTGTAGGGGTAGGTTTACTTTATCATATACTGTAGGGGTAGGTTTACTTTATCATATACTGTAGGGGTAGGTTTACTTTATCATACTGTAGGGGTAGGTTTTCATTATCATACTGTAGGGGTAGGTTTACATTATCATAGGGGTTTTACTTTATCATATACTGTAGGGGTAGGTTTACTTTACTTTATCATATACTGTAGGGGTAGGTTTACTTTATCATAGTGTAGGGGTAGGTTTACTTTATCATATACTTTAGGGGTAGGTTTACTTTATCATAGTGTAGGGGTAGGTTTTGTTTACTTTATCATATACTGTAGGGGTAGGTTTACTTTATCATA